CTACCAAACCAATCATTCAGAAGATAAAAGTATTTATTACCAGTTGTCTACGCAAAATAATTCGGAACCGTTGGCCAGAAACCATCAGCATCAACCTATTATGGGTGAGAACAAACCAGATTCAAGCGTAGGAGGAAATCAGGAAGAAGCGGTGGAAGTGGATAGAACACACACCGAGAAAAACACACAACTGCGTCACAAGACAAGCCCTCATATGGAACCCTCAAGGTAAAAGGAAAAGAAGAAGGCAGAAGAACGCATTGTGCTGAGAAATGGAGATAGACATGAGCAGAATGAATGAAAATTGGACAAAACTGGAAATACAAGTCCAGAGCAGAGTTGGTTGGAGAGTACTGGTTGGCGGCCTATACTCCATTGGGGGTAAAAGGCGTAAGTAAGTAAGCAAGTAAGTAAGTAAGTAAGTAAGTAAATATGTAAGTAAGTAAACCATTCACCGTATTCCTCTGGTAAGATTTCAGTAATTTTTCGATACCACGAAATCGCAAGCAAATATACTTATTTCACACAGACTATCCTATCTTCGCCTTCTTTAATACAAGATTTGGGATGAGGCTTGTGACGCGAACTTTATTGGTTTGTAGACGTGTTCAAAGTCATCCTCGACTCGAAACACTACTAACTCAAAGACTTGAAGAGGAGAGCAAATGAGGCATTTGAAATGGTAAGAATACTCCGAAAATCCCTCTACAGTCTTTTATGAGGCATTTTTGTTGTTTTTTGTTACTTGAAATCTTTTCGCATTTAGGTTTCGAAAGGACTTTTGTGACCATGTTTTGTGTTTATCAGCGATTAGTATTCATCTTAAGATAAAGTATACTCATTTATTCTAATTACCGCTGCTTATTGCTAAGCCATTGGTAATAAGGTTATGTTTTACTGAACTAAAGATCTCTCATGCTTTCCTGGATGATTCCAAGTATAAACCAGTTGATTTCTTTCCGCTTGATTCCTGCTCTTTCGGTTGCAGACGTTTGAGTCAAAAAACTATGAACACGTTAACAAACCAATTAAGTTCGGGTCCTAAGCGTCATCCGAAGTCTTGTATTAAAAAGGGTAAAGACAGGATAGTCCGTATGAAATAAGTAAATTTACTAGTGATCTAGTGGCACTGAAGGAATTATGAAATCGTGCCAGAGAAATGGGCGAAATTGTAAAGTAGCATCAGCAAGATGGCGATATCGATTATCTATATATGGTACTATCATTGTTTATAAAATGAGGTGTCTTTAGAATGACACATGTTAAGTAGTTTCTGTTACATTTACCCACTGTATTTCCGTTCGGTCATGTAGTAAATATTACATATGGTAGTTTACAGCTGAATTCAACCCATAGCTTCACGAGCCTAGAATACACAGATTGTCTACTACTGTTAGGTGACTTTTTATGCTGTTAAAGATACTGGCCAGGTCAAAACGTGAGCGATAGTGGAAAATATTGCTTCGTAACTTTTGTGAATCTGCTTACTTTAGAAATATGTATCAGGGTAGTAAAGTGTATTGAATGTCTCACTTTTATAGACCGTGATGCCTGGAGTGTTCGGATACCGTTAGAAACAACATGTTTTTTGACACTGTTGCTCTAAACTCCATGTAGTACGGACAGAATATCTTCGTTCCTACTGAAGATCTGAAACACCGAGTAACGGTTTGCACTAACTTATCTGAGGTCAAGCCTGCAAAAAACCTGGAAAACTCAATGCAGTTAAATACACTTGCTCACAAGTGTTATAGATGTAGTCAGTCCTTATCAAAGTAATGTCTGACAGGTGTATATTGACCCAACTTACCAACCGACACATCAGCATGCTGACAGACGAAAGTGACGATGAGAAATGAAGAAGGATTATTTTTAGCAACAATGGAAATTTAATCAATAACATAACAGTCCAGATGAAAGAAACAAGACCAAAGAGTTTATACGGATGAAATCAATGCAGTCTCACTACGGTTGGCTTGGAGTATCAGGTTAATGCAAATTTGGTCATCTGTGCGATTATGAAAAGAAAACCCTCATGAGGACTGACTCCAACACACGGGATTGTTCTCACTGAATTACAGAAAAGAAAGAAGTGGTTTGATAATTGCTTGCAGTATCAAAGTATTGTAAGTCACAACAACTTACCAGAACTTCACCGCTACGCCCCTAGAGGTAGTTTTTGAAAGACTCCTTATCAAGAAGTGAACGCACGGGTAAACTCGCACTTTTTCTTATTAAGAGTAATCCGAAGTTGGAATCGTCTCCCAGCAGTTTCCTCAGTGGAATGCGTCAGGGAGAGACTTGGCAAATACGCATTCGCCTAAGGATTATCATCTTGCTCTTAGTTCATTTGTGCCTGATCATGTCTCGAAACCTGTTAGTCGTTATCATGATCACCCTTCAGATCACTACTTTTCCATATCGAACTTATAATTATATCTGTTTCCTGTTTTATCCTTACACTTTGGTCTTATCATACTATCTGCGTCACCAACAACTGACATACATATTTATTTACTTAGTTCTGAATTATTGCTGTCATTTGAAATGAATTTTAAATTAATCATTCTCCATGCTGCAACCAACTGCGTGCCAGCATGGTAATGTGTTACTTAGTGATATCCCATAAACCAGTACGCTGAAACAAACGCTCTGACCTAAATAACGGACATAAAAACTCTCAAATAACTTCCAACTAACTAGAATCATATTAGTCGAAAGGCTACCGTTCATCGAGCAATACCAGACACCAGCAAACTTCAAGAAACAACAAGAAGGAAGTGTGAAGAAGCCAATCAGTTTATACGAGCTCGTAAATGAAACACTTGACATTGAGAGCATGGCAGAAGTGGGAGGTCTCTGTGAAAGAATCCGAACGTAGTTCTTACTTGACATTGAGAAAGAGACTCAGTGCCAAAGTTCAAAGTGATACGAAACACTTCCTATTAAAGCTAGCTAACGAAACCAGGTAAACTCAAAATATCTCCTCACCTTCATGACTAAAACATAACCTATAAACCAGTGCAAATGTGCCCTCAATGGTCAAAATAGTTAAGACCTTACTGACATATAGATGGCTGAGGTCTTTAACACCAACTTCAAAGATCAGTTAAATCAGGTACCTACACGTTCAGGTTATTACTAAAACCTAGTGCCATCTGGCGGCCTAGGGAACATTTGATTCACTCCTCACTTGGTACTAAGAAAAGTAAAATCTTTGAGTTCGGGAGAGTTACCAGGATGTAATAATAATCGTCCTACAGTTTTGAAATACTATACGGAAGACATCCATTCACCGTTATGTGACATGCTCAGGCATTCATTGGAGTCAAAGCGACTCCCAGCCGAGTGAAAATAAGCTACTCTCTATAAAATATTCAAAGGCGGAGATAGGAAGGAACCATTCTGTTACAGACCAGTCGCGTTATTACCAATACTATCGGAGGTAATGGAAGGGCCAGTGAACGAACAAATGAATGAGTACCTGTATAAGAAATAAATCCTCCATGAAGCTCAACAAAGGTTTCGGAAACCCAAGTTATGTGCATCTAATTTCCTCTCTACAAGGAAATGCTGGACAACTTTCTCGAACCGAAAAATACCCGTTCACATAATCTTTCTTGACTTCGCGAAAGCCATCGACATAAAACCTCACGCACTCCTGATTGCGAAGGTTGCGAAAATGGGCTTCACTGATCCACTCCTATCTTGGCTATGAAACTACCTTGGGAACAGAAAGTTTCGCATCAAGGTGAACAGATTGCACAAGAGTTGGTGAGTCTCAACATCCGAAGTTTCACGGTGAACCATCCTAGTTCCACTGCTCTACCAGATATTTATTATTATTCTGTTAGTTAAAGTTAGCTCAGAGTCACTGATGTACGCAGACGATGCAACTATCTGGAGGTCCATAAGAGGCGAAGAGGATTCAACTGAGCTTCAAAAGACCTTACATAAATTGAAGAATGGGCAGTGGTAAACCGTTTAAAACCAAACCAGTTGAAATGTCACGTTATAAACATCCTACTTAATATGAGACGAACGACTTACACCCTTAGTGCAAATCCGTTCCCTATTGTATTCTCAGAGCACGATCTGTATCGAATGACCACTGATAGACTAGACACTAGTTTGAACTATATGGGGGACAGAGCCAACGCTAACGCAACTCTTCAGTTTGTGCAAAGACAGCTTGATGCTATCATCCCAGAATTATTCTTAACGTTGTTTAAGTTATATGCACTACCACAACCAGAAGTTCACAACGTTGTCGCATCTTCTCTCTTTAGAAGAGACATTCATCTCTTGGATCGAGTGCAGAAACGAGAAACGAAATCGGTGATTGGGTTGAAGAGTAAACATCCAAATTTATACACCAGCACTTAGAATTATTGTCTCTCAGTTGCTGGAAGTGATTTGAAAATGGCGTACAATATATTAAGTACCTGTTATCATCCGAATATGAGCATCTTGCCGAAACATCACCACTCCCCTTGAGGCAATCCTTGAAAAATTGCTCCTCAAAGAGCTAACACTCAACTTCGTGCACACCTTTTCTCATTACGAGTCGTTGCAACTTAAGATGCACTTCCCCTTTGTCGATAGCTTCAAGATGAGAGGCGATAAATACTAACTCACACATGAATTATCATCTTCCTGAACCAGCTGTGCCTAATGCATATCTCAAAACTTGCTAGTTGTTATTAGTGTCATTCTTCCAGATCATTAATTTAACCCATTTCGCTTATTATCTCTGTTTCCTTTTCCTGGTTTACACATCTTGCACAATCTACCCTTCCAATTAATATTAACTTATTTATCTATTTGTTTGCTAAGTTCTGAAATCTTATTAGCTTTGGAATTTTTTCCCTGTTATTCTCCTCATGAAAACTAACTAATGTCCGGCTTGGTAACGTGATAGCTGCTGGAATCCAGCTCGTGAAAAAGATATTGGATATTGGAGTACTGCGTGATATCACATTCGACCTTATGTGTGACCTTAACGTCATTCCGCGAAGGCCGTTAGGACTTTCCACTGACATACCTTTAGATGCACCTGCCCTTGTGAATAACCACTCACAAGCTTGATTTTCAATGTCTGACGACATAGTGGTTGCTAAAGTCTCTCTTCCGGAGCATCGTGGGAATTTCCTTCTATCAAATATAAAACAAGAGCCACGCGATGTCATTTCAACCTCGTCAACTTCTGACAATTCATTCGTTTCTGTAAGTTCTTTCTGCTGACAAATTAAACTAGTTATGGTCATCGCTATACTTAATTGAAAAATAGACGATAGTAGGTCATGAGAGTTAAACTGAACCTATAATTGGTGAAGTGTCAACTGGCACTTAAGATTCATTGCTTTAAAAAAGTATCACACCGCTGTTATTGCAAACGTATAGAATTCAGTCACTCATCCACAAAAATCATCATGATTATTTGTTGAACGATGTAAAATAGTACTAAAGAACGGTGGATAATATTTACTCGACCTCTTAGGAAACTTGTGACTCCTTCAACATCATTTCATGCTATTAAATTCCTATGGGACTAGTACATAGTAATCAACGTTCTATTCAATGCACACGGATATATCTTTTGGAGTGTATATGAAGGGAATATGCCAGGAGTTAAAGTACTGACGATAGTAATGGTGGGAGAACAATTCCGTAAAGTTGACACGCTGTGCAAAATTAAACGCTCGCTGGATGTTCCAGATATCTATTATCGATAAATACCCGATCAAGTAATAGTATAGCTTTGCTGTGTTGTAGTCAATATATCATACTCAAGCAACTAGTTTCATCCAACAGTCAGGCAATGAAAACGTAGAACTTCGTATGTACGCTCATCAGTTCAAGTTGCCATACCATGCTGGCGCAGAGACTCAATTATCAATTCAAATCCCATAGTGGTAGATGTAGTAGCAGTATTAGCGGTAATGAAGATTAAGGTTCGAAGAAATCACTCCAGAAGTATAATCTAGTGAAATAAATTTAAAACTGAGAAAGATAAGGCTGATGAGGAATCCAGAAAATTAAAATATGAGAGAACACAAAGAATGAATGCATCTGCGCCATTGCAAACGATTTTGAGCCATATCATTCAAGTTCTCCAAACATCGGTTACTATTGTCTCGCGGACCCTAACCTGGTAGTCTACACCTACCAACGTGGCCTCCCTTCGCTTTCTTCCAGCCTACCCCTACACCACGAAACATTGCTCTTCGAGGCAGTCGGTAGTTGTGCATAGGTTACATACTTTCCAACCGCCTCAACTGATAAGGATCCACTACTTCACCAATTGGCTTGTCATCCTCGCCTAGTACGTGTTTCCTAACAGCAGCATTGCTCACTCACTGGTTCCAGGATATGAGAGCAATGCTTCAAAGACACCGAGGATGGAATACTAGTAGCCTACAAATATCCTCAGCTCTTATTGGCCATGTTTCACACCCATATAGTAAGACTTCCAAGCTTATGTTTGTTAGCTACATTTTCAATAATGACCAATACTGCTCTCTTAATCCGAGCAGTCGGATTCACTGGGTACTACTGGTGGGAACATTGGTCTATTTATGCCTTATTAGTTTTATTTATTCAGTATTTTTGCGTTATAGGTATCTGATTCGACCAAGATCTTACAAATGCTTTGAAAACAATAAATGTTATGATTTAGAATCCTTTATGTAGCTCAGTTCTTCTGTTTACTCATGTGTAACTTCTGCATAGTACCTTCCCCCATGCGTGACTAAACGTAAAAACTTACGCTCTAATTTCACAAGGTCCCATGTCTTTCCACTATTATTAACAAACCAGCTCTCTGTAATAATCCTACAGTCAACTGTGGGTCATATTACCCTTCGTTTAGTGCTTATAATCAAAAAACGGCTTTGTAGCATGCGCCGACATGTGACATGGAGTAAATACATATGTTTTATCATTACCTTCAGGTGCACTCTACACAGCATTTTCCAGTCGATAATTTTTATAATGTTGAATATTAGTTATTATTATCATTGTTCGTTTTCACAAATACGCCTACGTTTGCACACCAGATTGTAAGCTCTGACTAGTATGCAAAGGTTAACGATAATTCTCTGTTCTCCCTGCTGATACCTAAAGTTGATCTTCGACTGAATATACAGAGGTGGACCATCGAGTTCTCTCCATCACGGTTTCAAAGTATTCGGTGTGTAGAGATTTAACTGCATCTAAAATTGATTGTCAGCAAGACATATCTTCACTGGTGTCGGATATTTCCAAGTTTTTATTAAAGGGGCATAGCTCTAGATAAAGTCAATTGGGTTAAACTGTTGTAACCTGAGGCCGTTAAAACTGTAAAGTACCTGGGCAATCTAACATTATAGATTTGGATCATTCTGAGTCCACCCAACCAACCAATCAAATTTAACTTGGAGTCACGTTTAGTTTCAAACTGTTTGATCCAAAATATGTGCGTTGGTGTCACTAAACGTTGCAAGATTATGTAGAACAGCAGCTTTTGGAATCACACCAAAACCGTATGACACATCTGTGTATGGTCACTATCTTCTGATATTCATTGATTTGAAACTTTAAATATATTGTCATTCCATTAAGCTCTAATAGGATCATTCCTTTGATTAAGTGTTTACTCAACGAATATGATTTTAAAATAATTATTACCTTTTATAAATTTTGACAGAACACTAACGTAATTGATCTGAAAAACGCTTTTCAGTGTTATCTTAATAATGTGATTCTAACTGTTTGACTCAGTCGATTGTGAAGTTCTATGGCAGTGTCTGTCATTGAAAGGAGTACCAAAGAAGTACGTTAACCTTTAAAAGACTCTCCTCGAACACTAATGGTTGAGTCCAAGCTTTTGGCGAAGTGTCAACAGAGTTGATTACTGCAAGCGGTGTTCGTCAGGGCAAACCACTTTCTCCATTCTTATACAACTTCGTCATTAACGTTCTTTTAGAGACGACACTTTCATCTTCTGACTTTTCAGGAGTAGAACTTTTACCCGGAGACTCACCTGTTGACTTACAATATGCCGCTGACTTAGTCCAATATGGTGAAGATGCTGACAAAATGCAGTTTTCTGAAAACCTTAAGCAACAATGCAAGTATGTTCGGGATGCGATTCTCCCCATTGAAATACAAACTGTTGCTTCAGGATGGGATTTCATCAGCACCTGAACTAGTCAATAGGGATTAAAGTTGTTGAACGTGTTGACCGATCCAGTTTTCTTGGGATTCTCATCAGTGTTAATGGCCTGGTGTATAACGAAATCTCGGCACACACACACACACAGAAAGCTCGACTGGCTTTTGCCTACTCATGTCACGGCGTCGACGAGATACCCGTCTGTTTACCAAAGGGTGGATTTACTGTGCAGCGATTCGCTCCGTCCTACTTTATGGATGCGAAACATGGCCAGTAAGAGCTGAGGATATTCGTAGGCTACTAGTCAGTCAGTCAGTTGCAACGTAGAACTTCGTACGTATGTACATAAGTTCATGTTGCCATACCACATTATTAGCACAGAGACGCAAATATCAAATCAAATCCCATAGTGATAAAGATAGTGCAGAGGTATTAATGGTAATTAAGAAGACTAGGGTTTGAAGATATTATTCAAAAAGTATAATTCAGTGAGATAAGGTTAGAAAGACAAAGGTAGAGGTGCTGGCTAATCCAGAAGATTAGGATTTGAGAGAGCTCAAAGAGTGGATGCACCTGCGCCATTGCAAACGATTTTGAGCCATGTCGTTCAAGGTCTCTAACCATTGATGACTTTCGTCTCGCGGACCCCAACCAGGTAGTCTACATCTACCAACATGACTCAGTCCACTTGTCAGTGACTTCATGGATTTCTGCCATGTTTTGGTCTGGCCGCCCCTAGATTTCTTCCAACCTACTCCTACACCACAAAACATAGCTCGACGAGGCAGTCGGTGGTTAGGCATACGTAACACATGTCCCAACCACCTCAACTGATGAAGTTTCACCACTTCATCGATTGATCTGCCATCCTTACCTAGTACTCGTTTCCTAACGACAGCATTGCTTACTCGGCTGTCCCACGATATACGAGCAATGCTTCTTAAACATCTATGATCGAATACTAGTAACCTACGAACATCTACTCTTAACGGCCATGTTTCACAGCCATATAATAGAACGGAACGAACTGCTGCGCAGTACACCCACCCTTTGGTTAGCGAACGGATATCACGCCTACGCCATAAGTGACGCAGGTTGGCAAAAGCCAATCGAGCTTTCTGTATCCGAGCTGAGATTTCGTCAGTCACCAGACCGTCAGCACTGATGAGACTCCCCAGATAAGTGAAGTGATCTACACGCTCGACTACTTCACTCCCTATCACTAGTTCAGGTGCCGAAGCAACCCAGTCTTGAAGCAATATTTTGCATTTCGAGGGGGAAAACCGCATCCCGAACATGCTCGCATTGTTGCTTATGGTAGTCAGAAGACTCTGCATTTTGTCAGCGTCTTCACCGAATAGAACTATGTCATCGGCATATTCTAGATCATTAAGCGACTTTCCTGGTAGAAGGTCAACCCCTGAAAAATCTGACGAGCTTAATGTTAACTCTAAGAGGATGTCTACGACAAAGTTGAACAAGAATGGAGAGAGTGGACAGCCCTGACGGACACCACTTGATGTAGAGAATTCAGATGACAGTTCGCCATATGCTCTCACCCGACCAGTGGTGTTCGAGTAGAGTGCTTGTATAAGGTTAATGTACTTCTTTGGTACACCTTTCAATGACAGACACTGCCACAGAACCTCACGATCCACTGAGTCGAAGGCCGCCTTAAGGTCCAGGAACACGACTAACGTCGGACGTCTAAATGTGTGTCTGTGTTCCAGGACCTGTCGTAGTGTGAAGATGTGGTCTATACAACCACGTCCAGGTCGAAAACCAGCCTGGTTTTCTCGAATCTGCTCTTCGCGAGCTCTAGTTAGACGTCTAAGTATAATCGAGGCTAACAATTTAGAAACTATATTAGTTAAACTTATTCCCCTGTGATTGTCACAAGAGGACTTCTGTCCTTTCTTGTAGATTGGGACGATTAGCGACTGAGACCAGTCAGATGGGATTACGTCCATTTCCCAGATTCTACCTAGGATCTCGGTCAGTTTAACCGTTAAAACTGGACCACCATCCTTAAACATCTCAGGGGTAAGCCTATCGGGACCTGCCGCTCTACCTCTCCTTAGATTTCCTATAGCTTTCTCAACTTCATGTAAACTGGGAGGACTTAAGTCGATTTGCCATTCAGGATGACTGGAGATCGTGGGTAACCGAAGAGTGGCTGAAGGCCAGTTGAACTGATCCCTAAAGTGTTCTGCCCATCGGTCCAGCCTCCTAGATTGAGAATGGATAATAAGACCATCCTTTTCCGAGATAGTCTCACTTACATTCGGGTTCCTAATACCGGTTTCTTTGATAAGGCGGAAAAGTTGTCTAGTGTTGCCTATCGCCGCTGCCTTTTCCATCGCTTTTGCTTTCGCCACCCACCACTGTTCACGGTCGTTACGTAGGCTTTTTATAAGTTTGCACCTAAGCTGACTACGCTCTTCATCATGTTCAGAGTCAGGTGGGATCCGTTTACGAGCATCCATCAGTTCGATGGATGCGACTGAAATCCACTGCTTTATCCTTGCATGGTGGTTTACCTTGCTAGCAGATACCATTGCTGTTTCCACAGCCTTCTTGATATGATTCCAACCTGCTTCAGGATGGGAATCACTTGCATGGCCGCCTAACTGTTTTTCTAGTTCCTCCTGAAATATTTTCTTAGCTTGATTATCATCAAGTAAAGCCCTAAGAGGCTTCCTTACGGTGTCTTTCCTACGTCCAGCAAGCCTCAAACAAATACGTGCTCGCACTAGGGCATGATCTGAATCTAAACATGTGCCCCAGAACGAGCGACAGTCCTCTATCGAACCCCTCCATCGGTGGCTGATGGCGATATGATCTAGTTGTGTCCAACGTTGAGACGACTTCGGGGGTCGCCAGGTCAAAAGGTGTTTTTCCTTATGCTTAAAATTAGTGTTTGCTAGAAATAGTTGGTTATCTGAGCACAGTTGCAACAGACGGTCACCATTGTCTGTTCTTTGAGCCGCGAGACCGTAACATCCACCTAGGTGTCTTTCATTTTCACTTAGTCTACCTACTTGTGCATTGAAGTCACCAGCCATTATAACTATATCAGAGCGCTTAACTTTTTGGAGGAGGTCCGAAAGCTTTCTGTAAAACTCATCTTTTACATCATCTGGGCTGCAGTCAGTGGGGGCGTAGGCTGATATGACGAAGAGGCAACGGCGAGTGTCCCTATCTTTCCGAGTCCTTACTGTCCCGTTCAGTCGGACGGCGCACAAGCGACTATCTACAGGGATCCAGTCAAGGAGAGATTGTTCTGCCCTACGACTCAATGCTATACCTACACCGGCGAGGCCCCTAGAAACAGCATCAGGGCTACCGGATACACGAAGGGTAAATCGAGCTGCTTCTTTATCTTGACATGGTGAGGTCAAATGAGTGATGCTACTCGGATCCTGTATGCGCGTTTCCGAGACGCAGCATACATCGATGGAACGAGATTCTAAAGTCCTAGCTAATGATGCCTGTTGCCCTATTTGACACAATGTCCGTACATTGAATGCTCCAACATGTAGTTTGGAACGGGGTTTAAGGAGACCAGGAACGACGTTTCGCAAACTCGCATCGTTTGCATTAGCTGTGCACTGTAATAAATGAATGTGAGAAGAGTTAGTTGTGGAAATAAGAGAGGTATTAGGGAATGTAGGAAGGATTTGATTTTGAACAATTTTGTCTCGTGTGCTGTTGCGGGTATGAGGGCGGTTATCACTTCCCGGCTGCCCACACCATGGAAGGTTGTTTCTTGACGAACCTGAAAAGGAAGATGGATTAGTGTTGGTGCGTGACCGCAGAGCCCAAGGGACAGCTGCTTCAGGCCGGTCACGCACGGCCTTTTTATGAGAGGTATTTAGAGGATTAGCTCCGTTCTTAAAGGCCCAGTGGGCACCCTTACCCAAGGAGACGGAAATCCGTGAGTTAGGGGAGGTGTGACATTTTTAGGGCCGACCTTTTCTAACCCTTCCTTCCTTGTGAGAAGGCAGCATCGCTGCAGATGCTGGTTGTCCGAGGGAAACACCTTACTGCTGTCACACCCCTCTGCAGTCAGCAGTACGACTTCGCCCTCAGACCTTGGGTAGCTGCTTTTAGTCTCATCGTTCTCCAATCGACCTGCCTGGCATGGTAGGACCTGCAGGAACATGTGTTCCAGCCAGTATAGCTCGGTTGGGTCATCACGATAGGCAAGCCCGACCACCACGTCAAGGTAGCAGCTTCGGTCGGGTGGCTACTAGTATTCGATCGTCGGTGCTAGTGGATATTTACTTACACATTTACCTGAAAATGTACTTCTGATTAATGTGTGTACTTTATATGCTGTGAGATTCGTTAATATCTGTTAGTCTAATCGATTCTCAATTTGTCTGAGTTTTTATGCTACTAACATGTAAAAGAATTCTGATCGGTTTGTGTTCATGCTGAACTTTATTCTCAATTGATTGTCGCTACCTATAATCAATTCAAATTAGATCTTTGTGATAGACTTGTTCACGATTATATGAGTTAGTGTGTTACAATGTGCCAGTTAAGAGTTTCACTTTCTCTTCGACAGTAGTTGAGCTACTTTTGAGAAATTAATCCACTTGATTTCTAGGTTTGAAAACTAATCTCTCTGCTTCGATTTGGGTTGTCGCATTGTATCTCTAACATAGAAGCAATCAATCCAACTCAAAGCAAAAGTGTATAAACCCATATAGTTGGTAAATGAGTTACATCAATCAAAAAGTATGATCGTTGATGTCTTTTATTTATGAAAGTTAAGTGAGTTTTGTACTGAAAAGCCCAAAATAAATAAATGTATCCAGCCTTATTACAGACTAACGTGTTATTTTGAATGTTATTATATACTAAACGGTTAATATTAGTTATAACTAATTAGTAAAATTCCAATAAAGCATGCAAAATTATTAATTGAAAGATATAATTTATGTTTAATTCATTTTACCTAATAGATTTTTAATTGTGTTGCATCAGGTATTTCGATACCTTATTATCGAAGTAAGTATTGTCTGAATTTATTGACTTTTATCATTTTTCCTAATTCATGTCAATCTTTTATTTTCAATAGTTCCCTCAGGATCAATATTTAATTAATCCTATACACGTTCAGAACTCTTTGTCCAATAATACACTTGTAAATACTCATTATAATTTCCCTCTGAACGGGACCACCACCAATAATGCATCATCTAAAGGTAATAATACGTTTTCTGGATTTTTACCCGGAGCCAAGAATTCTTCAACATTACATTCATCTGGACCAAAAGTTTGCAATGCATTTAATCATACTCCTGTCCATCCATTGTATAATAATAATAATAATAATAATAATAAAATTCTCTTAGCTCCTCGGCCTCCAGCAACATATTCAAATTCAGTTGTTTCTTCATCAAACTATCTATCAATAAACCAACCAATTCATACTCAATCATCAATAATTCCACGAAATCCAACTATTGCATCAACTGATGACCTTAAAAGAGTAATCTGTAACTCTTTAAATGTCAATAATAATAATGATAATAATAGTAATAATAATAATAATATGGTTTCACAATCAATGATTCATCCTAACTTTAATAGCTCTTGTACAAATCATCATCTAAATAAGAATTCTATTTCGATGGATTTTGCTTGTGTTTCATTTGAACCATATCAAAATTCCCTTAGTCATGTAAGTTAACCAATTTTTTGAAGTTGATTATTCAATTCCGAAAATCAGTTACATTCATTATAAATCATTGACATGATTAAATATCTTTCTCAACAGCTTGTTTCCTCGACTATACTATACATCTATCGTTTGTCAGTAGTAGTCAGACAGACAGACAGATACAACACAAGAACTTCGTCCGTATGTACATCAGTTCAGGTTGCCATACCGCATTAGCACAGAGACGCAACTGTCAGTAAAATCCAACAGTGCTAGCAATAGTAGGAGTATTAGCAGTAATGGAAAAGATTAGGGTATAATTGAGCGAGATCAAGTTAGAAAAAGAAAGATAGAGGTGAAGAGGAATTCAGGAGGTTAGAATTTGAGAGAATACAAAGAGTGGATGCACCTGCGCCACTGCAAACAATTTTGCGCCATGTTGTTCAGGGTCTCTAACCATCGATTATTATCATCACGCGGACCCCAATCAGGTAACCTACATCTACCAACATCACTCAGTCCATTTGTCAATGACTTCATGGGTTTCTGCCATGTTTTGGTTTGGCTGTCTGTAGCTTTCGTCCAACCTACTTCTACACAACAAAATATAGCTCAATGAGGCAGTCGGTGGTTAGGCATACACAACACATGTCCCAACCACCTCAACTGATGAAGTTTCATTACTTCATCTATTGATCTGCCATTCTTACCTAGCACCCGATTCCTAATAACAGCGTTGCTCACTCGGTTTTCCCTGGATACACGAACAATGCTTTGAAGACATCTGTGATCGAAAACCAGTAACCAACGAATATCTTCTACTCTTACTGGCAATGTTTCGCATCCGCACAGTAGAATGGAGCGAACTACTGGGCAGTACACTCGTCCTTTGGTTAGCAAACGGATATCTCGCCTGCGCCATAAGTGTCGCAGGGAGAGATTATTGTTTCACAAGTCTCAGTTTATTTTTGTATATATAGTGGAATAAAATGTAAGATGAAGCTCATTCAAACTATTTAGATGAACTAACTGTTGAGATGTGGAGTTCATGAATTATTTCAGTATCAATGCTAGTTTTCCACTATAATTGATCGTTGTAATTGTGTAAAGATTACACATTTAAGTTTTAAATAAATTTCATGAACTGTTTCAAATTTTCCCCTACTATTGTTATTCGAGATTTGTGAAATTCTTGCTATAGTATGTAATCTGTCACCGCTCCGAAATTTCCTCTGTATAAATTGTCTTACATTACTTGCTCTCCAAGTTGTCAATTTTTCTTTATGGATATTTACGGAGTTTGATATTTTCTTAATCTATACTATCTTCCACTGTTATCGTCTGTGTATTATACTGGTCAGTTGACATAATCGGATATATTACTATTTTTAATTGTAGACTGACAGTGTTGGTTACCTGGCGTCATCATTCATCAAAGTTCATATCACGAACTAATCCTAGCTAAACCACCATTGGAAACCTGGAAGCACTTGACGACTGTTTCTTTTTAGTGTTAGACTCCCTAGCAGCGAGTATATTCGACCCCGCAAGTCGGGACCTCCAGTCACGCACGCCAATGCCTCTAGACCACTGAACCGACATCCAATAATGTTAATATCTAACTTCAACTAATTAACAATAGTACACAACCCTCATCCATTGTCTGCGTGAATAACTGTCCCATAACCAACATGTTTACATCTAGAATCCGGTCATCAATGAACATGCGAGATCGAAGTTTTTGGGTCCGATTCTTGCCTGCGGGACCATGTATGTGTGTTGTTAAGGTGTACCATACTGGAACGAAACGGCCGTCCAGTGCTTCCAGATCAGTTTATAATTTAAACTGAAAATTCTACAGTCTTCATAAATCACCTATATTTGACATAATTTATTATTCCATTATTATTTAGCACAAGGTCCAACGCCGAGTCTATTTTCCTCTTACGGTTCAAAGTCATATTTAATTCTAACATGTGTATAGTTTGTGTATACTGATAGCACCTGTGAAATCAATACTGTTTTGTAAGGTTAGAACAATGTTGTATCCAACGGTGCCGTTAAATGAGTGAGCCTCTTGAAACTTTGGACATCCCTAAGTATTCCATTCCTATTCTGTGTTTTTGTGCTTAAGAAAACTAGTTGACACTGTCTGTTGAAAAGATCACGAGAATCGGGCATCCTTTCTAACTGATAATAAATAATACAACCACAACCACAACTATATGTATGGTTGCATCCCTTCGATTAGCAGTAATACAATTTTTCTACTATGGAAGACCATATCCAGATGTCTACACAACTCCGATATATAAATGAGAAGTGAAAATGGTCAAGCCATAGATTTTCTTTAACAAACAAAAACAGATTCCCCTCATCTCAATATATATACTAATTTGTATACAGATTCACCCTAATTTTAATCAATCACTCAAATTTTTAACATATAATTTGATTCAATTACTAATGAATCTGTAAATAACATTATTGGAAACAACCTATTTGCTGTCAATTTTATTTACATTGAGTATAGTTGACAACACGTAAAAGTAGTTCCACGGAAACTGTCAATAATATCAATCAAATTTTCTTAACACTACAGTCAAGTGCATCAGAAATACCAGTAGCAGCACCAACAGCAGCAACAGTGCATACAATCACATCTACATCTGGTGTTTCTGTTTTAGACAAACAAACTTTTATTACAACATATTCTCCTTCTTCTACAATTAATGTTGCCACTGCTTCTACTGCTGTAATTCCTACTACTATTGCTAATAATTTTGATTCATCCATTGAAAATTCATATGATGGAGTTCTATGGGGTCGTATATGTCGTCGTGCCGATGGTGATTTAATGCTGCCTGGATTAGGTCGACTTTGTACATTCAAAAGTCCATATTCAGTGTTAAGACAAATTTGTCAAATGACTAAATCGGAAGATAGTCTTGCATTACAAGTGAGTTATACTTATTTTCAATTTTTTTCTTTACTAATTTATTTCTGTTTATAAATAAGTAAAAAACAAAATTGACATAGAACTACTTGGTGAAAACGCTGACAAAATACCGAGTCTTCTGACTACCATAAGCAGCAATGCAAGCATCTTCGGGATGCGGTTTTCCCCACTTGAAATGCAAAATGTTGCTTCAAGACTGGGTTGCATCGCCACCTGAACTAGTGATAGGGAGTGAAGTAGTCGAACGTGTAGACCGCTTCACTTATCTTGAAAGTCTCATCAGTGCCGATAGCCTTGTGACTGACGAAATCTCAGCTCGGATACAGAAGGCTCGATTGGCTTTTGCCAACCTGCGTCACTTATGCCGCAGGCGAGATATCCGTTTGCTGACTAAAGGACGAGTGTACTGCGCAGTAGTTCGCTCCGTCTTACTTTATGGCTGTGAAACAGCCAGTGAGAGTAGAAGATATTCGTAGGTTACTGGTTTCCGATCATAGGTGTCTTCGAAGCAGTGCTCGTATATCGTGGGACACCCGAGTGAGAAACGCTGTTATTAGGAATCAGGTGCTAGGTAAGAATGGCAGATCAATAGATGAAGTAATGAAACTTCATCGGTTGAGGTGGTTGGGACATGTGTTGCATATGCCTAACCACCGACTGCCTCGAAGAGCTTTATTTTGTGGTGTAGGAGTAGGTTGGAAGAAAGCTAGGGGTGGCCAGACCAAAACATGGCATAAATCCATGAAGTCATTGACGAATGGACTTAGCCATGTCGGTAATTGTCGACTACCTGGTTGAGGTCCGCGAGATGATAATAATCGATGGTTAGATACCGTGAATGACATGGCTCACAATCGTTCGCAATGGCGCCGGTGCATTTATTCTTTGTGTTCTCTCAAATCCTAATCTTCTGGATTCTTCAACCCCCCTAGTTTTGACTTTCTAAACTTTTCTCACTGAATCATTCTTCTTGAATAACATCTAATCCTAACCTCTCCGATTACTTCTAATACTTTTACTACCTCTTCTACTATTGGATTTGAATTGACAATTGCATCTCTGTGTGCTGATGTGGTATGGCAACATGAACTGATGTACGTCCGAACGTACGAAGTTCTACGTTGCATCTGACTGACTGACTGTTTAATTAATTTGGATATATGATAAAATATGTAGTAGATCATCAAAATGAACTGATCAATCGCATGCTCAAACATCAATGGCGAGATTTCAATAACTTATATATATATAAATTATTAGGCTTTATGTTTATCAACAATAACATAGGTTAATCATTGATTATGGTTGCTATCAAATTCCATATATATAGTCTCAATTTTGAGTGTGTTTTCAATTTGTACGTCACAATCGGTCTATAGTCTGGTACTACTACTATTACTACTACTAGTAAAAATCATTTCCAACTTATTATCAATCATATTCAATAGAATAGTTTATTCTGTACAATAATTGATCTAGCCTTTCGGACTTTAGTCTTTTTGCAATGATATTTTCATAGGTGTATCACTTTTTCTTGTTGCTATTATTAGTATTAGTATTAGTACTGTTATTCATCCATCAATACATCATTGTATGATTTCATTTGTATGTTGGAGCGTCGTTATTAGTTTAGAATGAAAAATCTCTCTTGACAAAATTACATCTTAGATCATTGAAGTTTGTTTTTTTTCTTTTTCCGAAAAAAAATCAATAGAATTTGTACATTAAAAATTCATGTTACATTTAATAAGGTTGTTGTTGTTGTTGTTACTTACTTACTTACTTACGCCTGTTACCCTCAATGGAGCATAGGCCGCCCACCAGTTTTCTCCAACCAACTCTGTCCTGGGCTTCCTTCTCCAGTTCTGTCCAATGTTTGTTCATTTCTCTTATATCTTTCTCTATTTCTCGGTGTAATGTATTCCTTGGCCTTCCTCTTTTCCTTTTGCCTTGATGGGTTCCATGTGAGGGCTTGTCTTGTGACACAGTTCGGTGGTTTTCGTAGTGTGTGTCCTATCCACTTCCACCGATTCTTCCTGATTTCCTCCTCTACTGGAATCTGGTTTGTTCTCTCCCACAGTACATTGTTGCTGATGGTGTCTGGCCAACGAATCCGAAGTATTTTGCGTAGACAACTGTTAATAAACACTTGTATCTTCTGGATGATGGCTTTGGTAGTTCTCCATGTTTCCGCTCCATACAGTAGAACTGTCTTGACATTTGTATTGAAAATCGTGATTTTGGTTTTGGTTGAAAGTTGTTTGGATTTGCAGATATTTTTCAACTGTAGAAATGCAGCCCTTGGTTTGCCAATCCGCGACCTCACATCTGCATTGGATCCACCTTGATTGTCGATGATGCTGCCCAGATATGTAAACGTGTTAATGTCCTCCAAGTCATCTCCATCAAGAGTGAGTGATTTGGTTGGTGCATGTTGTGTTGCATCGGAGAAAAAATGCTGATTTTGGTTTTGATTGAAAGTTGTTTGGATTTGCAGATATTTTTCAACTGTAGAAATGCAGCCCTTGCTTTTGCAAATCTGCGCTCTCATATCTGCATCGGATCCTCCTTGATTATCGATGATGCTGCCCAGATATGTAAAGGTATTAACGTCCTTCAAGGCATCTGCATCAAGAGTGAGTGATATGGTTGGTGCATGTTGTGTTTCATTGGAGAATTTTGCTTTCTCCTTTACGTGTATGTTGAGACCTACTGCTGCAGAGTCTGCTGCTACACTGGTCGTCTTCTCTTGTTGTTGTTAATAATGAAAAACATTGCACCATGTAGTTAGTCTCTTAGTTCCTATGCTCTAAGCATTCAAAAATATCAATCATACAACACTTATTGTATACAGTGACAATTAATAATTACACGAGGTTATTGGTTTGATAATCTCTCATAGTGGTTGGTTTTTTTGCAACAGTTAAATATGCCAAGTTCAGTTTGTAATGGTGCAGGTGCATTTACTCTTTGTGTTCTATGAAATTCTAACTTTCTGAATTCCTTATCATCTTTATCTTTCTGTTTCTAAATTCACCTCACTGAATTATACTGCTTTGAATAACATCTTCGATTCTTAATCTCTTCGATTATTTCAAATACTTTTACTATCTCTACTACTACTATGGGATTTGAATTGACAAATATATCTGTGTGCCAATATGGTATGGCAACTTGGACTGATGTACTTACGTGCAAAGTTTAACGTTGCTGTTGATGATGATTGATGAAGTTCAGTTTTCGTTTCATCTGTTGAAGTTTATCAGCACTTATGTAATATTTTAATGCAACAGCTTAGTTAATTAATGATCAATGTGTTGTTCCACTGTCTCAGCCATATTAAGTTCAGATTTCAATGCGTGATTGATTTATTTCAATGTTTAGTCAACCAGGTACTTATGTAATGACACAACTCTCTCTTTCATTTGTGAAATGAGACTTGTAGTAGTATTAAGAGTCACTAATTTTTAGAGACCTTGAACGACATGGCTCAAAATCGTGTGCAATGGCGCAGGTGCATCCATTCGTTGTGCTCTTTCAAATCCTAATCTTCTGGATTCGTCAGTACCTCTACCTTTGTCTTTCTAACCTTATCTCACTGAATTATACTTCCTGAATAATATCTTCGAACCATAGTCTTCTTCATTACCATTAATACCTCCTCTACTATCTTTATCACTATGGGATTTGGTTTGACATCTGCGTCTCTGTGCTAATAATGTGGTATGGCGACATGAACTGGTGTACATACGTACATAGTTCTACGTTGTAACTGACTGACTTTAGTAGTATTAAATACATGATGAATAATCCGTACTTGAGGTATGAATTGTTTTTTACAAATGATATTTATTTTTTTTTATATGTTCAATATTTTAATTTTTATTTTATTTTATTTTTTCTGTAATTACTTTTTTTTCGTTAGCTATCATCATCTAGAGTTCAAAGTGAAATTGACGAAAATCTTCGATTAGGAAATCATTTATCAACTTCATTATTGAATCCAACATCAAAAAAAGTGAGCGCCTTTATTATTATTATTATTATTATTAGTAGTAGTAGTAGTAGTAGTAGTAGTAGTAGTGTAGTGAATGAGAACACAGGTGGGGCAACCGAATTGTATTTAGCGAAAATTACAGAGTTACTCAGTAGTAAAATAGGAAAACCTTTATCGTAAATCGTTCATTTGCAAAATATCAGTCCATCATCATATCGAACTGGACTGTTCCTGTTGCAAAACATCAATCCATTGTCACTATTCATGCGTTTCATACAAATTCCATTGTGTTCTATCTAACTCTTCCTTTCTTGATCTTCCCTCATCTTCTGATGCCAGACATTACGTTGACACTCGCGTCATATACTACTTATAAGTAGCTCGCACCACAGCACCACAGTATGTATAATGTGTATGTATGTGTGTGTATGCATGTATTGTTGACACTAATTAGTAGTTAGCTAAGCTTATTTAAATACAAGTAAAATATAGATAGGTAGCTTATTGGTTAAAACACACAACCAACATAGCTACTATTTAATAGTCATTTCAAATTCCTCCCGATTTGCTTTGACTTGTTTTAAAAAAAACAGTTGGATATTTGGTATGATTATTATTATTATTATTATTAATATTGCCAGTATTTTGTATTCAATCTCTCATGGCTCACTTATTGTCAACTACATGAATATTATTAGGATATTCATAAAAAAATATTACAAAAATTATTCTGTCACATGTTTTCACACTTTTCACATATTTCACATTTCGTTTCCTATTGGTCAATAATGATATTTATGGTCGGTCTAGCTGTATAATTAGGAGGCATTCATTATCTGTGACATTCTAAGCTGTATTGTATTCTGAACCCATCAAACAAGTTGGATCTGACCGATTTTGTGTACTGATATTATTTATTTATTGGGCATTTGAGAAACATAGGATTTGTTGTCGTACTGAAATATCTCAAGTTGATCGATCGGTTAGAATTTCGAGTAGCAGCCACCTGGTAGACCACAATAAATGATATACATAACAAATAAATTACACCTCTCCTCTTGTCTGGTTTGCTCATGATCAAAGTTTCATCTTTCTTGAGTTTTGTTAAAGCCTCACGGTGCAGTTTAGTGAAAAGGCGATTTGTAGGACGCTTACTATTCTTATACTGTAGGCAGCTATCGACTAACGTTGTCTTAAACCTAGCTACATCTTCCACTGAGGTAGGGACAAGGTCAGTTGTTTATGAAAATAAATTCTCAAACTGCACATCGGTATCTAGTTGATTGACCTTCTGCCAATTATCACAAAATTTAGGCCCAAGGGACAAAGCTCCTAACTGTATTACATCAAGTGAAATATTTGATAGCTGCCTACAGTATAAGAATAGTAAGCGTCCTACAAATCGCATTTTCACTAAACTGCACCGTAAGGCTTTAACAAAACTCAAGAAAGATGAAACTTTGGTCATGAGCATACCAGACAAGAGGGGGAGGTATAGTTGTTATGAATAAAACTGATTACATAGATAAAATGAATTACAGTTCAGTGGAAACAATAAAGATGCTATTGGATTGTTCAATGGTTGTCTGTTATAATTCTCTTTTAGTAAACCAATCTATTCCTATCGCTTAGTATTCTCTGACAACAATACATTCAACAAGTCCTCAAATCAGAACACAGTTGAACAGGAAAAGATTATATTCCAAATAGCAAGGTTAAATGGAAGTAAGAAGCCGAAGCGAAGGCGAAATAGAAGCAACGTTAGTATCTTTTTATAGTTTTTACATGAGAACCTTCTGGAATGTTCTCCAAATATCGGCTAGCGCTGATTGGACAGGAATTAGCCAATCAGCGCGTAGTTATTGCAGTCATGCTTTAATGCATCCATGTCCCGCTCTAACAATTGTCGTTAATATCTTAGAGACTTGTAGATTATATTTTGAATTGATTGTAGTGTAGTGAACGATAACACAGGTGGGGCAACCGAATTGTATTTAACGAAAATTACAGAGTTACTCAGTGAAATCGGAAAACCATATCGTAAATCGTTCATTTGCAAAATATCAGTTCGTCATCATATTGAACTGGACTGTTCCTGTTGCAAAACATCAATCCATTGTCACTACTATTCATGCGTTTCATACAAATTCCATTGTGTTCCAACTTTTCCTTTCTTGATCTTTCCCCATCTTCCGCTCCCAGACATTACGTTGACACTCACGTCATATACTACTTATAAGTAGCTCATACCACAGTAGTACTATCGTTGTGACGCATTGCTTTTTAATGCCTCAAAATGAAAAGAAAAATACTATCTGTCTATTTACTTTGTGGTTTTCAATGCTTCTCCGATTGATATTATATCAATCAATAGGATAATAAACAAAAAATAAAAAGAATTTAACTCGATTACATCACATAACTGCTATCCACACTTATTCATTATCATATTTTGTTGTTGTTGTTTATTCTATAGTCAAACAGTACAGAGTCCTATCACAATTTAGGCTAGAGAAAGATAGCTGTGATTCATAACAAATATGTACTTTAGCTTACTATTTATTTTCATGTCACCTTAGTTGCTAAGTTTGATTTAGTCATTAAAGAAATAAATAACAAAATTACTGATTTGTGCGCATGCTCCTCTTCATCAAGTTGACATTGTTACAAAACATGTTTCAGTAGAATTTCACTGGGTAAACATGCTCTATGTGTGTTTTAACTTTATCATGAAGGTTACTGTTAAATTGTGTAAAACTTTGGTGAAAAAAAGGACGGACACACACACAGACACACCATAAAATTGTGAACTGACCTCAAGATGAACTTCCTCTCTACTATGGGCGCTCTAGTAGTAGTTTAGTTAGTTAAAACAAATCAGCTTGAAACCATTGTGTTGCGGACTCAAAGTTTTTTTATAAATATTTAAAAAAAACAGATTATTTGCAATAGAGAGATGACAGCAATCACATGGTTCTTTGATAGAGAGTAGATCACCGACTATATTGAATATGAATGGCGTAATACTCTCCAATAATATTATTAATAGTCTCTGCTGGACATGTGCTGCGTATGCCTAACCACCGACTGCCTCGACGAGCTATGTTTTGTGGTGTAGGAGTAGGTTGGAAGAAAGTTAGGGGTGGCCAAAACAAAACATGGCAGAAATCCACGAAGTCATTGATGAGTGGACTTAGCCATGTCGGTAGTCGGTAGTCGACTACCTGATTGGGGTCCGCGAGATGATAATAATCGATGGTTAGAGACCTTGAATGACATGGCTCAAAACCGTTCGCAATGGCGCCGGTGCATTTATTCTTTGTGTTCTCTCAAATCCTAATCTTATGGATTCTTCAACACTTTTAGTTTTGACTTTCTAAACTTTTCTCACTGAATCATACTTCTTGAATGTCTTCCAATCCTAACCTCTCTGATCACTTCTAATTCCCTTACTACCTCTTCTACTATTGGATTTGAATTGACAATTACATCTGTCTGTGCTGATGTGGTATGTATGTGATGGTATGTACTTACGTACGAAGTTCTACGTTGCATCTAACTGACTGATAATAGTCTTTGCTAGGTTTCAGATATCGAGTAGTAGTAGTAGTAGTAGTAGTAGTGTTAGAGTAACACTAGTCAATTTTTAATAATAATCCTTCGATTACTATTAACATTACTATTGTCATTAAAGTGACTCTTCAAATTACCTGTTTTTTTTTATTTTATACTCATTTATTCTGTTTCTTTTCTTTTCTTTTATGGGGGGATTAAAAAACAAAAAATAGGGTTTTCACATTTGTCTTTGTTGCCGTTTAACATTTACCAGTAGTTCAGTGTATGAATGTCATTTGAATCGTTCCATTGCACATATCTATTATCGATGTCATTTATGCCTTGAATCAACTACCACTACTACTAGTACTCTGCCTGTAACAAATAATCAAATGTTGAATAATAATAATAATAATAATAATAATAATAATAATAATGATACAATCAATGCACAAAGTGTATATTACACCACTACCACCACTACCACAACCACAATCAATTCAAATGATGCCATGGATAAAGATGTAATCATGGAAAGAAGAAATGCTTCTACGAATACAACACCAGTAATAACAACGCCAACACCAATACCAACACCAACTAATCATCATCATCATCATCATAAAATTGGTAATCATAAAAACATTATACATTTTCAATTTTATTCAATTCTACCGGGTGATATAATTAAAGCAACAAATCATTGTGCTATATTTCATCATTTTATATCAGCTCATCCAAATCAAATGGATTTATGGATATTAAAATCATCGTTACTTACTGTTTATCCATTAAGAGGATCTATAATGTGTTCAGATTTAACAAAATCATCTCTGTCAGATTTATTATCTAATGCTCCAAGTAAGTTTCGGGTTTTTGTGTTTTTTTATCGAAAAATAGTTAGTTTATACCTGTTAACCGTTGTTAGAGCAGCAGTAGCACACAGGCCAACCGATTTATCTAACTGTGTGATTTCTCAGAGCAATGGATTCTTTGGTGTACCTTCTTTATTTTTACTCCTTTGACCTTGAGGAGTTATGATGTAGTTGGGTGTTTGTCCTATGTCACCTCCAGCACTTTTTACTGATTTCTTTTTCATCAACTGGAATCTAGTTTTTTTTTTTTATTTACCACAACAGTCGATTGTTTCTGATTGTGTCTGGTCAACGGATTCGAATTATCTGGCGTGGATAATTGTTTATCAACACCTAGAGCTCTTCTAGGGTTGTAGTGAACGAGTTCACAGATGGGGCGACCGGATTGTATTTAACGAAAATTACAGAGTTACGCAGTAAAATTGGAAAATCATATTTCGTAAATCGTTCATTTGCAAAATATCAGTCCATCATCATATCGAACTGGACTGTTCCTGTTGCAAAACATCAATCCATTGTCACTCACTATTCATGCGTTTCATACAAATTCCATTGTGTTGTATCTAACTCTTCTTTTCGTGATCTTCCTCCATCTTCTGCTGCCAGACATTACGTTGACACTCACGTCATGTACTACTTATAAATAGCTCGCACCACAGGGTTACTGCCCCAGTCCTAAGCCGGAATAAAAGAGTCTGATTGGACATGGGATTAAGAACCTTACCTCATAGAAAACAATCTGGTTATAAAAAAATAAACGCCAGCTATTATATTAGTACTGTTGAATATGTAAATGAAAAATAGCCATTTGTTACTTGTTCTATTGTGTGTACTATAACTTGTTCAATGTAATCAATATTTATTGATTTGATGCTGGCGTCGTATGCATGCGTACATTTGAATACAGTTTGACTCATTTATTTCGTTTAGTTATTTAATCAGTCAGTTGCAACGTAGAACTACGTACGTATGTACGTAAGTTCATGTTACCATACCACATTAACACACAGAGACGCAAATGTCAAATCAAATCCTATAGTGATAAAGATAGTAGAGGTATTAATGGTAATGAAGAAGACTAGGGTTTGAAGATATTATTCAAAAAATATAACTCAGTGAGATAAGGTTAGAAAGACAAAGGTAGAGGTGCTGACGAATTCAGAAGATTAGGATTTGAGAGAGCACAACGAATGGATGCACTTGCGCCATTGCAAACGATTTTGAGCCATGTCGTTCAAGGTCTTTAACCATTCGTGGCTTTCGTCTCACGGACCCCAACCAGGTAGTCTACATCTACCAACACGACTCAGTCCACTTGTCAGTGATTTCATGGATTTGTGCCATGTTTTGGTCTGGCCGCCCCTAGCTTTCTTCCAATCTACTCCTACATCGTTAAACATAGTTCGACGAGGCAGTCGGTGGTTAGATAGATAAAAAATTTCGCTTCTACAACACACCTAGGTTAAAATCTAACGAATTTTATTCGGAATTTCAATCAAGCTGCAATATATATGAAAAACGATGTGAATCAAGTGGTCATAATAAAAACACAAATACAAAACATAGCTCGTCGAGGCAGTCGGTGGTTAGGCATACGTAACACATGTCCCAACCACCTCAACTGATGAAGTTTCACAACTTCATCTATTGATCTGCCATCCGTACCTAACACCCGTTTCCTAACGACAGCATCGCACGGTATACGAGCAATGCTTCTTAAACATCTGTGATCGAATACTAGTAACCTACGAACATCTTCTGCTCTTAACGGCCATGTTTCACAGGCATATAGGATAACGGAGCGAACTGCTGCTCAGTACACCCGTCCTTTGGTCAGCAAACGGATATCTCGCCTACGCCATAAGTAACGCAGGTTGGCAAAAGCCAATCGAGCTTTCTGTATCCGAGCTGAGATTTCGTCAGTCACCAGGCTTTTGTTTAAAATGATTATTTTCAGTGTCAGTTTCAAAGTGATCACACTTCAGTTGTGTACCATTTTGAATGAAAGAGTATACTTGTTAAAAAGTTTAGTATATATGGATTTATGTTATGATTTGTAGGACTAGTTTTACATCAATTTAATGTTACTAGTTATCATACGTCTATCAGTCTCAATATTTAATATCTTGATAGTTTCAATATTACCATCGCTTAGTGGGTAGGCTGGTTCAAGTAGTTTAATCTACAGAAAATAAATGAAAACATAAAGACTATCAAAAAACGGTGTGATCAGATTATTAAAAATCGATAAATTGTACATTGTACCCGACTGATTGCAGATATGTGTCTAATATATTTAATAGATTTATTCACATAGATATTTCAAGTAACTGATTTAGTCCACGTGTAGGAATAATAATAAAAAAGAAGATGGAACTTTTAATAAAATAGCTTCTTACATGAATTAACATCACTATATATAGACATATATATTTTTTATATATAAACCAGAAAAATCAATGTGTTACTTTACTTGGAGTTGCCACATTTACAAAAGGTTATCAGCCATAAAACAGTGCAATGTTGTGTGTCACAGTAAAATAAAAATGTTGATCTCTCGGTCAACTAAGCAACCCTAGAACAATAATTTTTTCTAGTTCATTAAGTTGAAATTTAACATTGATAACATTGTTAATTAATTGTATTCTCAATTAAACATTATTTTACCTTGATAATCTATCTGTTGTTTCTCCGTGATGATGATGATGAAACTGTGAGGTTGTGGTGGCTTGGGTCAATGCATGATATGTGCTATATTCTTTATTGTTAATAATTAATTAATTAAGTAAATTATTACTTAATTATTAACACGTTTTCATCTGCAATCACTTCAAGGTGGGTGGATTGGAAAAAAATGTTGAAGGTGAAATGATCCATGAGATAAAAAGAAAAAACTTAATTCAATTCTTTCATTGTAGCGTTTCATATCATCATCGTGTTTAATCGTTATTTTCCTAATGAAAGATTAAAAACAAATAAATAAACATTACGGGGTTGTGAAGATTGTTAAGTTACACATGTTTTGAAACCATGAATCGATCAATGTTAGACCACCATTAGAAGAAACCTGGAAGTACTGGACGGCCGTTTCGTCCAGGTATGGGACTCCTCAGCAGTGCGCATCTAACATTGATCGATTCATGGTTTCAAAACATGTGTAACTTAACAATCTTCACAACAACCCCGTAATGTAAATTACCTGTGCTCACTAGTGACTAGCTTCGTGAGGAATCTTCTCCCATGAGTTCTAGTGGGAGGACGTGACCAGTGAAGTTCAACCTGTTCGGGTGTATGCAATGTCTACCGAAGACCTGTGTATGAGGTTGCGCAACTGCGTGAATTTGATCAAGTTAGACATTAACACCGTTAGATAACTGCTCAGTGGTCTAACGGTTAGGGCGTTCGCGCACAATACTGGAGGTCCTGGGTTCGAATCCTGCGGGGTGCCGGAGTCATGGATGCGCACTGCCACTGATGAGTCCCATACCAGGAGGAAACGGCCGTCCAGTACTTCCAGGTTTCTAATGTTGGTCTAACATTGATCAATTCATGGTTTCAAAACGTGTGTAAATATATAAACGTGTCTTTTTTTTCTCGGAATTTATTACCGTATCCTTCTTCATTGCAGTCTCATATTGTTTGAATTGTTATTATTATTATTATTATCACTATTATTATTATTACAGGAGAGAAGACCTCTGCAAATCAATTATCGAGTCAATCGGAAAAAATTCAATCTGATCCATTCTCTAATCATACATGTCTGTCAGGAATTTTCAGTGATCTTCATCAAAGTTTAAAGTTTGTTCATTTACTACTATATATCATTCTTCTCATATTTATATGTATATATATATATATATATTTGAAACCATGAATCGATCCAATGTTAGACTACCGTTACAAACCTGGAAGCAGCACTGGACGGCCGTCTCGTCCTAGTATGGGACGGTCTTGTGCGCGGTCTCACTGCTGATCAGTCCCATACCAGGACGAAACGGCCATCCAGTGCTGCTTCCAGGTTTCTAATGGTAGTCTAACATTGACCGATTCATGGTTTCAAATGTGTTACTTGACAATCTTCACAATGATAATTATTAGAAACGTTTATTCATTTTGCGTCTTCATGTACAGTACTCTTTATCGCTATCTCAACTTTAATCTGTAGTGTGCCGATTTATTGCGTGTTCTTAAGCTCGGTAATTAACTCGTCCAGACAATCGTTACTACATAGCGTCTGACGGTTTATAAATCAGAAGATGAACTCATAGTGTTGAATACGTTTATTTGGGACACACCACAAAGCGAAACGGAGAAGCAGTGAATAAAATGAATGAAGCGACGTGAATTGGAGAAGGCTGTTGAGCCAACTCAAAGAGATAGAGCATGTCTAAGAATATATGTAGCCAGACAAATATAAGACAGACATACGACAAGCGAAATAGGCATGCACACACATGAATAAAAGCGGCGAATAGTTGACAAGTGGGACACGTCATGTGAGCTCATACAAACCAGACAATAATAAGAATGAATGGTACATATAAATTGTTGCAATACACAAATGGCTTGGTTACATAAATTATTAATCGAAAGGGCTTAACCTAATTAACTGTAAGCGAACTGGAATATATGTGGAGGCCACTACAAATCAAACTAACTAGCGAAGACTTTGGTGATGGCTGTGTTGTTGATAGATGAACAAAGTAAAGCTGGATTTTTTTCAAAGAGAATAATTTTATCCACCTACAATATCTATTTTACTCAATTGAATCATTCTCCTTGCCACCATTTAACATGACTCTGATACACAAATAATACTAGTAGTGTATATTTAGGCAATCAAAAGAGAAACACTGAATCCATGCTTAATGTAATCCATGAAGTCATTGACGAGTAGACTTAGCCATGTCGGAAATTGTCGACTACCTGGTTGGGGTCCGCGAGATGATAATCGATGGTTAGAGACCTTGAATGACATGGCTCAAAATCGTTCGCCATGGCGTCGGTGCATTTATTGTTTGTGTTCTCTCAAATCCTAATCTTTTGGATTCTTCAACTTTGTAAACTTTTCCCACTGAATCATACTTCTTGAATAATATCTTCTAATCCTAACCTCTCCGATTACTTCTAATACCTTGAATACCTCTACTGCTATTGGTTTTGAATTGACAATTATATCTGTGTTGTGATATGGTATGGCAACATGAACTTATGTACTTACTTACGAAGTTCTTCGTTGCATCTGACTGACTGACTGACTGACTGACTGTTTAATGTAAGTTAGCACTTATTAATAAAATGTACCTGGAATACTAAGAAAGAGATGTTTCATATGGGAACTGTTGTCTCTGTGGACAATTCAAACATTGAATAATGGCTTTTTATGGTCAATCGAGCTTATTTTTTGTATTAAGAACCAGAGAACATTATAAAATGGTCACTTACATTGTTAATATTTCATTCCAAATTATCATGCAATTAATACTACAACAGGCTAAGCAAATTCTTACTTTCGAAATTCCTTTTGGTAATTAAAATGTTTAGCCACAAGAACCATAAATCATGTGATTTGATCGATCAAAAATTACAGTAGCACAATGTACGATAGGATAACAAAAACATTCATTGACATAAAACTAAGTAATTAATTGATTTACCTACCACTCATAGATGCAATCAGTTCATTATTTAAAAAAAAAATGATTGAATCATTGAATTGTAGTCATCATAGGATCAATGTTCATCTTTGTAAGTTGACGAATCATATTAGCATAAAATAGTAAAGTTAGAAAGATAAATATCAGTTGTGATGAGAAACACTACATGAAAAGGTATTATATTTATACAAGATTATTGAAACTCAATATCTCGTAAAGAATACAGAGTGATGAATACTTCTAGGCCCGAAACACACATCACGCAACCATTCGTCACAATAATCACACGAACACCCAACAAACTAGTATACATCTACAAACATGAATCGAAGCGATGGCCAATAGTTTCATGGATTCATCCCGTATCACTCACTATTCGACCATTCCTCGTTTTCTTCCAATCTGCACATTCTACACTATCCAACATTACACGTTGATTTGGACTTGTCACTAAGTATGCATAATACATGTCTCAATTAAGTCAGTCGAAGTGGATTCACAACCTCATCAAACGATCTTCTATATTTGCCTAGTATCATATGGGTCAGTCAGTCAGTCAGTTAACGTAGAACTTCGTACATAAGTACATGAGTTCAAGTTGCCATACTACATTAGCACAGAGACGCAATTGTCCGTATAAATCCCATTGTGGAACAGATAGTAGAAGTATTACTGGTAATGGAGAAGATTAGGGTTCGAAGATATGATTCAAGAAGTATTATTCAATGCGATAAATTTAGAAAGAGAAAGGTAAAGATAATGAGGAATTTTGAAGACTAGAATTTAAAAGAACATAACGAGTGGGTTCACGTGCACCATTGCAATCTATTTTGAGCCATGATGGTTGCTTACTCGATTATTCCATGATACACAAGCAACATTTCTAATATATTGAATAATAAGTAATCTTTATTAGATATATTTTCAACCAACTGAGGTAGCCAGCGTAGCGTTACCTCATATTTTGCAATCTATCGAGCTGAGATGAGCAACAGAATCGTTCGCAATGGCTCCGGTACATTTATTCTTTGTGTTCTCTCAAATCCTAATCTTCTGGATTCTTCAACCCCCGCCCCCTAGTTTTGACTTTTTAAACTTATCTCACTGAATCATACTTCTTGAATAATATTTTCTAATCCTAACCTCTTCGATTATTTCTAATACCTTTACTACCTCTACTACTCTATTGGATTTGAATTGACAATTACTTCTCTGTGCTAATTTGGTGGTATGGCAACATGAACTGATGTACTTACGTACGAAGTTCTACATTGCATCTGACTGACTGACTGACTGAGATGAGTAAACTTATCATTAGGAGGAGGTCGAGGAGAAAAGACTTTGTCATCACCAAATGACTCCTTTCAAGTTCTTTTCCACACACACCCAATTATAGTCATTACATCAAAATCATCTTAAATTATTTTGTTATTGCGTAATGTTTATTAGTTTATTACATAACATTATTAATCATGTTGTTCTTTTTTTCTCTTCTTCATTTCCTACAGTAATATATCCGCTTTGAACAGTTTCGATTTACTTCATTCATCATTGTCAACACCTGTACTTATCAATAATAATAACATCAATAATCATAATCTTAATACATTATCCAATTGTTTTATTACTAATGCCAGTGATTATGATAATCATATAATTGAAAATTTCTCTTCATTACAACGTATTTTTAAACCAATCATAGCGATTCATCATTTACAACAAGAACAACAATTAATGCATGAAATCACTGAGACCAACGTTCATCATCCTGATCATCCTCACCATCAATTACAACATGTTTCACATTTACCAAATTTACCTAGTTCAAATAGTTTATTATATCGTGTTATTCTTTATTTAGCCAATTGTGAAATATGGCATAGTCATTTATTCTTGTCAAATTGGTGTGATAGTAGCAATAATCATAATAATAATAATACTAATTCAACTGGATTACTATCGACTGCCAATCAGAATGCTGACAAGTACAGCACTTATTTGCATTGTAATAATACTGTTAATTATAATCATAGAAATAATTCTACAGACATTTTATTCAATATTGATGATGGTGATGATGGAGATGAAGAAGAGGAGGAGATTGGTTGTGATGATGATGTTGATGACGGAGATGATGACAATGCGGGTGGGGGTGGGGGTGGTGGTGGTGACAATCGTCATCGTGATGACGCTGGTAACAACAACTTGAACACCAGTAATCGTGTGTATACAACACCTGCTACTACTACTAATAATAATAATAGGAGTATCGCTGATAAAAATTCTCAAAACAAATCATTAATAAAGCGATGGTCTTCAACAAGTATGTTAATTGATTTCTCTTTTTAAAAAAAGTTTATTGTTTTCATTGAGTAGTAGTAGTAGTAGTAGTAGTGTGGTGTGAGCTACTTATAAGTAGTAGTATATGACGTCAGTGTCAACGCGTAATGTCTGGCAGCAGAAGATCAAGAGAAAGGAAGAGTTAGATAGAACACAATGGAATTTGTATGAAACGCATGAATAGTGAGTGACAATGGATTGTTGATGTTTTGCAACAGGAACAGTCCAGTTCGATATGATGATGAACTGATATTTTGCAAATGAAGGATTTACGATATGGTTTTCCGATTTTACTACTGAGTAACTCTGTAATTTTCGTTAAATCCAATCTGGTTGCCCCACCTGTGTTCTCCTTCACTACAGTAGCAGTAGTAGACTTTCCATAATTTAGCTACCTTTAAGCCAACATTGAATATCGAATTGATTAGTTGACCTAAAAAATAGGATCACTTTATGTGAGAAATGTTATTACCACTCGATTGCTTAGATGCTTGTAGGCATGGTTATAGGGGGAGGGTTTGACCCCTACTAAGAAGAGTGGAAATATCCACATGTTACCTCAATGCATACACTAAAGTGTATTCTACACTTGGGGTTTGTATAGTGAGTAAATTCATCATTTATTTATCTAGCTTCTCGTGGTTTATAAAATTAGATGATATAAACAGTCTACAGGCTTATGTGTTTTTGAAACAGTGGAATAACCGAGTGAACAATGATCAAAGTACGCATACAATGCTAGGTAAATATAGAAGATAATTTGATGAGGTTGTGAATCCACTTCGACTGACTTAATTGAGACATGTATTATGCATACCTAGTGACAAGTCCTAATCAGCGTGTAATGTTGGATAGTGTAGGATGTGTAGATTGGAAGAAAACAAGGAATGGTCGAATAGTGAGTGATACGGGATGAATCTATGAAACTATTGGTCATCGCTTTGATTCATGTTTGTAGATGCATACTAGTTTGTTGGGTGTTCGTGTGATTATTGTCACAAATGGTTGTATTGGTTGTGTGATGTGTGTTTCAGGTTAATCAGTTTCAGTGGCCTAGACGTATTCATCACTCTGTATTCTCTAAGAGATATTGAGTTTTAGTCAGTTAGTTAGTCAGCTACAACGTAAGAACTTCGTACATGGGTACATCAGTTCAAGTTTCAGTATTCTTGTGTTGTAAATATTATGCCTTTTTAAACCACGATTGCATTATGCAATGTTTCTCATTATCATTGCTAGTTAATTACTTTGACTCATTTGCTATTTACTTTATTACTTGTCTGTGTTAATATGACAATATTTTTTGAAACCATGAATCGATCAATGTTAGACCACCATTAGAAACCTGGGAGAAGCACTGGACGGCCGTTAGATACCGGCTCAGTGGTCTAACGGTTACGGCGTTTGCGCACAATACCGAAGGTCCTGGGTTCGAATCCTGCAGGTTGCAGGAGTCGTGGATGCGCACTGCTGTGGAGTCCCATACCAGGACGAAACGGCCGTTCAGTGCTTCCAGGTTTCTAATGCGGTGGTCTAACATTGATCGGTTCATGGTTCCAAAACATGTGTAACTTAACAATCTTCACAACAACCCCGTAATGCAAGTATGATAATAGTATAATATACTGATGACCTTCAATGTTTTATCAGCCGCCCATCAGAAAATCTTACCCAGTAAGGTGTGAAACAATCAACTGCTAGAATCAATAAAATATGGGTAGAGTAATTAGCTTTGATCTGAGTTAACAATCTTCACATGTCGAATTATTTGTTGTAGTGGAATGGAAACAGAAGCCAAGTTCACCTGTTAAAAGTCAAGCTTTGAATTACATACTAAGAGTTAAGCTAGAATTCTAAGTTTTATTCGTCACATTTGGGTGAAGGTTTTCATCACGAAATGACAACATCATTCATGAAATGGTAATTGCTTGTTATTGCACTATTTATAAACTTAACAGACCTGTAGTTGAGATTAGGAGTTGGCGTTAGGAATGGAGGATACTCTGTGACTTTACTGAACACTCTTGACTCTACGCATTGGAGGATCACATCAGGTATCACAAAACACAGTCTGCTGTAGGCGAGGGAATGTTTTGTAATTTAGTTTAGGTGCTACACCTTAAATTGACTTTTCGGTTGTGTAATAGGAATTTGGATTGATTTCAAGCATTTGAAAGGACAATTTTAGGTAATTGTTACTTGTCTGATTGGTACGCGTTCAGCCAGGAGGTTTCTTGTTTGCCTTAGGGGTATTTGACAAGCAGCGTGTGAGATTATCTGGAAGATGCAAAAACAAGAGATTAAGATGATCCGACGACTCAGTAAGCGCTTAGAATACACTTACATTCAGTGTAGAAATAAATAGACAGCAACTAGAAATAAAGATAGCGTGAGATCAAGACAAACTGATAAACGAAACTGGAAGTTGATGTAGTAGGGTTTCGAATGCGTTAGATTGGTGCATCTTAGATTCTTCTCAAAATACATGAGAGTTAATCTTAATTCTGATTGGTTCACTCAAGGTCATCAGTATTATTCTATTCATTAATCAACCGATTATCATGAGAACCTGAAATAATGACCACCACTGATTACCAAAATCCTTGGGGCTGATGATTGATGACTCATTTGGTCATCCACGCCCACTCGATTGTTTCTAGCCTGGGATTAGTCATCGTAAATCACGAAACTCTTCATGAGCCAAAGAGCCTACAAACATATCGATTTTTTTGTGACACTGACTGAATCATATGCTATAATAGGTGTATGGACTCTGTTGAACTAGGTGAGAAATCCGCTCATTCATAATTGCTTTACCCACACCTTGCCCTGTATATTGTGTGAACTTATTCAACATGTAGTGTTTTCCTAATTATTACGTATTTTTCATCAATCCTCTCCTCTTCCATTTCCTCTTCATTGAACAAATTTTAAGACTGAGGTTAATAATTAATTATCAGTGTTAAAATCACTAGCGATTGAAACATTTCCATCAGTTGTTACTTACAACGTAGAACTTCGTACGTAAGTACGTAAGTTCATGTTGCCAAACTGCTTTAGCACAGAGACTCAACTGTCAGTTCAAATTCCGTAGTGGTAGAGATAGTAGAAGTCTTAGCGATCTCTAACCATCGGTTATTAACTATTGTCTCGCAAACCCCAACCAGGTAGCCTACATCTACCGACATGACACAGTCCACTTGTCAGTGACTTCATGGATTTCTCCACGTTTTTGATTGGCCGCCCCTAGCTTTCTTCCAACCTACTCCTACACAACAAAACATTACTCGTCGAGGCAGTCAGTGGTTGGGCATACGTAACACCTGTCCCAACCACCTCAACTGATGAAGTTTCAATACTTCATCTACTGATCTGCCATCCGTACCTAGTACTGGTGTCCTGACGACAGAATTGCTTACTCGGTTTTCCCAGGATACACGAACAATGCTTTGAAGACATCTATGATCAAATACACATAACCTACAAATATCTTCTACTCTTACCGGTTATGTTTCGCATCCGCGAACTACTGCGCAGTACACCTGTCCTTTAGTCAGCAAACGGATATATCGCCTTCTCCATAAGTGACGCGAGTTGGCAAAAGTCAATCGAGCCTTCTGTATCCGTGCTGAGATTTTTTTGAAGCATTATTTATCATTTGGACAGGAAGAGTCGCATCCTGAACATGTTTGCATTGTTGCTTAGGGTAGCCAAGACTGGATTTTGTCAGCCTCTTTACCTAGTAGAACTATTTCATCGGCATATTCTAAGTCAACAAGCGAGCCTCCTCGTTGAAGGTCCACTTCTAAAATTTCAAGCGAAAATAATGTTTTATCAAGAAGCATGTCTATGACAAACTTAAACAAGAATGGAGAGAGTGAACAGCCCTGACGGACACTACCTAGAGTAATCAATTCTGATGACAGTTCGCCATAAGCTCTCACTCGACCATTGGTGTTCGAGTAGAAAGCTTTTATAATGTTAATGTACTTCTTTGATATACCTTTTAATGACAGACACTGCCACAAAACCTCACGATCGACATAGTCTAATGCCGCTTTAAGGTCGAGAAATACTACTATTGTGGGGCGTCTGAACGTGTGTCTTTGTTCTAGGACCTGACGTAATATGAATATTTGGTCTATACATCCACGTCCAGGTCGAAAACCAACGTGGTTTTCTCTTTTCTGCTCTTCAGTAGCTCTAGTAAGGCGTCGGAGTATTATTGAGGCCAATATTTTCGATATTATATTAATTAGACTGATTCCTCTGCGACTGCCACAAGAAGACGTCTGTCCTTCTTTGTTGACTAGGACAATCAGTTATTGAGACCATTCAGATGGTATTACGTCCAGTTTTCAAATTCTGCGTTAATTCTATGTTAATCTAACTGTTAAAACTAAACCACCTTCCTTAAAAATTATCAGGCCCTGCTGCTTTCCCTCATTTAAGACTCCCTATAACTTCCTCAATTTCATAAAGATTCCGAGGACCTACGTTGAGTTTCCATTCAGGATGACTAGAGACTGAAGCGTGTTTGAAGGCCAGTTGGACTGATCACTAAATTGTGCTACCCATCGATTCTATCTCCTGGGTTGAAAATGAATAATACGGCCATCCTTTTCTGAGATAGGTTCGCTAACATTTGGATTCCTAGTCCCAGTTTCCTTGACGGTTCTGAATAGTTGTCTACTGTTACCTATCATTGCTACCTTTTCCATCACTCTTGCTTTCGCTACCCATCAGTGTTCGCGATCATTGGATAGGCTTTTTATTAGCCTGCGCTTAAGCTGATTTCGCTCTTCATATTGTTCAGAGCCAGGTGGGATGAGTTTTCGAGCCTCTATCAGTTCGGTGGATGCTACTGAGATTCATGGCTTATCCCTAACCTTATGGTTTACCTAACTAGAAGATGTCACTGCTGTTTCTACAGCCTTTTTGATATCATTCCAAGCTGCATCCGGATGGGAATCACTTACATGGTCGCCTAACTCTCTTTCTAGTTGTTCCTGGAATATATTCTCAGCCGTATTATCATTAAGTAAAACCCTAAGAGGCTTTCTTACGGTGTCTTTCCTACTCCCAGTAAGCTTCAAACAAATACGTGCTCGCACTCGGGCGTGATCTGAATCTAAACATGTTCCCCAGAACGAGCGACAGTCCTCTATCGAACCTCTCCGTCGGTGGCTGATGGCGATGTGATCTAGTTGGGTCCAGCGTTGAGATGGCTTTGGTGTTCGCCAGGTCATGAGATGTTCTTCCTTATTCTTAAAATTAGTGTTTGCTAGAAATAGTTGGTTATCTGAGCATAGCTGCGGCACACGGTCGCCATTATCTGTTCTCGGAGCCCCGACACCATAAGGTCCACCCACGTTTGTTTCAGTAAAAGTTTCTGTAAACTCATCTTTCACCTCGTCCAAACTACAGTCAATTGGAGCGTGGGCAGATACGACGAAGGGGCAACAGCGAGTGTTCCTAACTCTCCGGTTCTTTATTGCCCAGTGCATAAACGATTGTCTACTAGGATCCAGTCTAAGAGATCTAGTTCTGCCCTGGGATTTAAAGCTATACCAGCTAGATCCCGGGAAGCAGCATCAGGTCAGCCAGATACACGAAGAGTAAATCTAGCTGGTTCTTTCTTTTGGCATGGGTGTAGTGAACGAGAACACAGGTGGGGGAACCGAATTGTATTTAACGAAAATTACAGAGTTACTCAGTAAAATTGGAAAACCATATCGTAAATCGTTAATTTGCAAAATATCAGTTCATCATATCGAAATGGACTGTTACTGTTGCAAAACATCAATCCATTGTCACTCACTATTCATGATGCGTTTCATACAAATTCCATTGTGTTCCCGCTCTTCCTTTATTGATCTTCCCCCATCTCCTGCTGCCAGACATTACGTTGACACTCACGTCATATACTACTTATGAGTAGCTCGCACCACATGGGGACGTCAAATGAATGCCGCTACCTCGATCCTGTATGCGCGTTCTCGAGACGCAGCATATATAAATGGCGCGAGATTCTAAAGTCCTAGATAGGAAAGCCTGTTGTCCTTTTTGACACAGTGTACGTACATTGAAAGCTTCAACATGTAGTCTAGAACGATGTTTCAGGAGACTAGGAATAACGTTTCGGGAACTCGAATCGTTTGCATCAGCGGTGCGGGTTGATGAAGGAATGTGAGAAGAGTTAGTCGTGAAGATAAGGGAGATGTTAGGTGGTGTAGGAAGGATTTGTTTGTGACCGATTTGGTCTCGCGTGCTGTTACTGGTTTGAGGGCGGTTGTCACTTTCCGGCTGCCCACACCGTGGAAGGGTGTTTCTTGATGAACCTGAAAAGGAAGGTAGATTCGTGTCGGTCTTAGAGACCGCATAGTCCAAGGGATAACTGCTTGAGGCCGGCCATGCGCGGCCTTTTTATGAGAAGTTTGTAAATTGTTAACACCGTTTTTGCTTAATAGGCCATACTGCCGGAGACGGAAATCCATGAGGTAGGGTGAAGTGTGACATTTTTAAGGTCTACTTTTTCTAAACCTTCCTTCCTTGTGAGAAGGCAGCGTCGCTCTAGATGCTGTTTGTCCTAGAGAAACACCTTACTGCTGTTACACCCTTTTACTGTCTTCAGTACGACTTCGCCCTCAGACCTTGAGTACCTGCTCTTAGTCTCATCATTCTCCAATCGACCTGCCTGGCATGGCAGGACCTGAAGTAACATATGTTCCAGTCAATATATCTCGGTTGGGTCATGAAGATAGGCAATCCCGGCCACTACGTCAAGGTAACGGCTACAGTCGAGAAAACATTTCAATGTATATTTTGTATTTGAATAATCTAAACGACTGTAAAATACGTGAGAGTACCCTAATATCTAAAAACAAAGCCTTAAATGCCAAGATGACAGTAGGACTTCAATAAATAGAATGAATCAATCAATCAGATTTAAGATGACACGAAATTTATCCAATCCACATGATCAATCAACATTCTGACATGATTAATTGATATCAGTTTATATGGAAAAACTTTAACTGGACATCCTAATCCTAACTACATCAAACTACTTCATTACTCTATCAGTTTCTCAAAGTCACTTTTATATTGTTGTCACTTCAAACGTTGTTGTTCATAAATTTATAGTTTTGTTCAGATTTTATGTAAACTCACTAACTAACTAACTAACTAACTTGCTTTTGAACTTTCTAATTTCATAATTTTTCCAAATAATCTATGTGTTATCCAACTTTGTTTGTCTGTTTTTTTTTCTGTACCTATAGAATTGTGTAACATATGTCTACCACCGTCTGCTCCATCCAATACATATTTGAATCAAGCTATTGATTCATTGATTACACTCAATTATCATCAACAATATCAACATCAACATCATAATTTAACTTGTTCTTCTACTACAACTTCAACAATAACAATGACAACCGCAACACCAACAACTACAGCAACACCAACATCAACCGCAACAACACTTCATCGATTCACTGATGATTCACTACTACTCACATTAGAGAATAATGAACATTTCTCATCATATAAACCAAAATCCATGATGATCAAATCGAATATGAATCAACAATTCGGAGTGTTACGTTGTTTAATATGTAAATTTCGAACAAATGATTGTAAATTACTTATTGAACATTTGATAGGTGGTAGTCCACCATTAAATCATACAAAATGTGGTTTATGCGGTCAATTGTTGTATACTAATCAACCATCATTATGTTCAGTGAAAGCACATCTTCTATTACATTTAGGTTGTTTTTTAATGTGTCCTCAATGTGGATATACGGTAGGATATTGTATTGTTTGGTTGTTTTTTTTTAATTGTATGTAGAAAAAAAAAGTTAGCATTTGTTTGTTTATTGATTTTCTACGCATATTTCACACAGATTCCATTCTAATGATTATATATATATATATATATATATATATATATATATATATATATATATATATATATATCGTAAGGATGGATCGTGTACTGACCAAATTGCAACATTACGGATCATTATGGAGCAATCGATTGAATGGAACTCATCACTCTTCATCAACTTCATCGACTACGAGAAAGCATTTGATAGCGTGGATAGGAAAACACTGTGGAGGCTTCTTCGACATTACGGTGTGCCTGAGAAAATAATTAACATCATACGGAATTCTTATGATGGATTCAACTGCAAAATCGTGCACGAAGGACAGCTAACAGACTCTTTCGATGTGAATACCGGTGTCAGGCAAAGTTGCTTACTCTCACCCTTTCTCTTTCTTCTGGTGATCGACTGGATTATGAAGACGTCGACATCTGAGGGAAGCACAGTATTCAGTGGAGAGCTAGGACGCAGCTGGACGATCTGAATTTCGCAGATGACCTGGCTCTTGTATCGCACACTCAACAACAAATGCAAGAGAAGACGACCAGTGTAGCAGCAGCCTCTGCAGCAGTAGGTCTCAACATACATAAAGGAAAGAGCAAAATTCTCCGATGCAACACAACATGCACCAATCAAATCACGCTTGATGGAGATGCTTTCGAGGACGTTAACAACTTTACATATCTTGGCAGCATCATCGACGAGAAAGGTGGATCGGATGCAGATGTGAGGGCACGGATTGGCAAGGCAAGGGCTGCATTTCTACAATTGAAAGATATCTGGAACTCCAAACAACTTTCAACCAAAACCAAAATCAGCATTTTCAATACAAATGTGAAGACAGTTCTACTGTATGGAGCGGAAACTTGGATAACTACGAAAGGCATCATCCAGAAGATACAAGTGTTTATTAACAGTTGTTTACGCAAAATACTTCGGATTCGTTGGCCAGACACCAACAACAACAACGTACTGTGGGAGAAAACAAACCAGATTCCAGTGGAAGAGGAAATCAGGAAGAAGTGGTGGAAGTGGATAGGACACACACTACGAAAAACACCTAACTGCGTCACGAGACAAGCCCTCACATGGAACCCTCAAGCAAAAGGAAAAGAGGACGGTCAAGGAACGAATCACGCCGAGAAATAGAGAGAGATATGAGAGGAATGAACAAACATTGGACAGAACTGGAGAGGGAAGCGGAGGACAGAGTAGGTTGGAGAAAACTGGTGGGCGGCCTATGCTCCATTGGGGTATATATATATATATATATATATATATATATTAATCATAGTTTATCTTACGATGTAGGATGATGATTTGATTGTAATTTCAAATGAGATTAGATGAGATATAGGGTCACTAAGGATAAATTAAATCTCATTCTTTTAAATCAAAAGTTATGTTTATTTTTTGAAATATTGAGCTTCAAGTATAGAGCATTGACAAATAATCATTAGTTAGAATATCGTTCTTGTGGAACGTAAGACACGCAAATATTAATGTGAAGGAACACCTAACTGAACTATACACCACACTAAGTAGTGGGTTTGCGAGAGTGGGTTAAGATACTGTTAGTGGGACATAGATGGAATTAAAGCATGACTACGTGGCTGCGCACTGATTGGCTAATTTCCTATCCAATCAGCGCCTGATCGATTCTTGGAGAACCGGGTAAAAGATTCTCGTACTGTTAACTGCATGCTGATTGTCTATTAATCTAATCCAGTCGGTCACGTGAATTTCTATCCAGAAGCATTCTCATGTAAATGCTATAAATAAACTAACGTTGTATCTATTTTTGCCTTCTTTGCCTTCTTCGCCATCACCTTTGGCTTCTTATTTCCATTTAACCTTGCTATTTGGAATATAATCTCTTCATGTTCAACCGCGTTTTTGATTCTTTGGAACTTGTCCAGTGTATTGTGGTCAGAGAATACTAAGCAATAGGATTTAGCTGGGAATTATCTAAGCAAGCGTTCCAACAGATACTGTCCCCGGGGCCTAGACCGAAGCAGGTAGTTTCCTATGCGGGTCACTCCCCGAGTCTTTGACTTTAATCCTCAAGGCACTGGAGTAGCGTCGGGAGATGCAGTTCCATGGTGGCCGGTTACCGAGATTAGGTTCATCCTCCATTCGCTCCGTGAGCAGCATCTTGGAGACCATATAAACGATTAGTTTGGAATCAGGGTTTTCCAACTTTCCTAGGTGGATTGTCCATACCAAAACAACATTGTTCAAGTTCTAAACACTTGTTTTTCGTTATATCAATTTTGTAAACAACACTTCGAATTCTGTGATAGTGGCTATGTATGCGTTGGCGTATGAGAGCATTTCGAGAGGGAGATGAGACTTTCCCTACTCTTGACTGTACTAGGGCATTTGGGGACTTCTTGATCCTTTCTTACACTGGTGAACTCTCCAAATGACGTTTTTTTACCTCTCACTATTTTTTTCGAATAAAATTTACTTGATACCAGACCCTATTATAATTATTTCTCAGTGATTTCTCAGAGTGAACTAGTGAACTGTTCATCCATCTTAAAAGATTCTAGGCAGTTTGAAGCGTCGCTTCCTATTTTAATGTATATAAATAAGAGTTTGCATTACGGGGTTGTGAAGATTGTTAAATTACACATTTTTGAAACCATTAATCGATCAGTGTTAGACCAGCACTATTAGAAACCTGGAAGCACTGGACGGCCGTTTCGTCCTGGTATGGGACTCCTCAGCAGTGCGCATCCACGACTCCTGCAACCTGCAGGATTCGAACCCAGGACCTTCGGTATTGTGCGCGAACGCCCTAACCGTTAGACCGCTGAGCCGTTATCTAACAGTGTTAATGTCCAACTTGATCAAATTCACGGAGTTGCGCAACCTCATACACAGTCCTCGGTAGACATTGCCTACACCCGAACAGGTTGAACTTCACTGGTCACGTCTTCCCACTAGAACTCGTGGGAGAAGATTCCTCACGAAGCTAGTCGTCACTAGTGAGCACAGGTAATTTGCATTACGTGGTTGTTGTGAAGATTGTTAAGTTACACATGTTTTGAAACCATGCTCACTGCTGAGGAGTCCCATACCAGGACGAAACGGCCGTCTTTCAGTGCTTCTTTCAGGTTTCTTCTAATGGTGGTCTAACATTGATCGATCAATTCATGGTTTCATAAATAAGAGTGTTCAATTGAATGTTATCATTACATTTCGCTTATAATTAAACGTTAATTAATTACTTGCCTACTTTGTTTTTTTTTTATTTCCTTTTCATATTTTGTCATTACATATGTTACAATAATTATGATAAACAAATCAAGCCTCCATTACATTTACCACCAGATTGTGCAGAATTATGTTTACGTGTACATTTACGTTTTGTTTGTTATCATTTTAATTTAAAAGAAGTATTTCAATGTAATTATTGTGATGGTAAAGCATATCCAACTTATGATAATTTATGTCAACATCATTTAGAACATCATGTAAAACGTATTTATGCTTGTTTATGGTGTACTCGACAAGTATCCAATGAAAATGCTATTCATAACAATAACAATAGCAATAATCATACAAATTCTACAATTACTCAAAATTTTCCTATAGCAGAAATAGTTAATAATAGTGGCGGTGATCATACTGCAATCGGTTCATCTCATGAACATTTAAAAAAAACTATTTCATCTACAACTATTCATATGAATAAAGAAAATAATAAATTATCCATACCTGTGACATCATTGTATACCACCAACACCACCGGCACCACCACCAACAGCAATAATTCACGTCCTAATTCTACTAAATCTAATTCTTGTAAGTTATGATGATGAAAATGTTCAGTTGATTTTTTGAATATTTTAATAAATATTAGTTAGTTAAAAATGGTAATGACTTGTCAAGCCCCCTTTTACAACTATTGAATAACAATAGTACATTGGACCAGTACACTTTTGTCGGGAATCTCGTCAGTCAGTGCTGATGACCTGGTAACTGAGACGAAATCTCAGCATGGATATAGAAGGCACGATTGACTTTTGCCAAATTACATCACTTATTATGGCGTAGATGAGATATTCATCTACTAACTAAAGGACGATTGTACTGCGCAGTGGTTCGTTCTGGCTACGAAGCATGGCCGGTAAGAGTTGAGGACATTCGTAGGTTGTTAGTATTCGATCATAGGTGTCTCCGAAGCATTACTCTTGTATCCTGTGACAACCGAGTAAGAAATGCTGACGTTAGGAAACGGGTCCTAGGTAAGGATGGCAGATCAATAGATTAAATAGTGAAACTTCATCAGTTGAGGTGGTTGGGACATGTGTTACGTACGTATTGGGTTCGTCACTAAGTATGCTTGAGGCTATTACGAGTTCACCTTAGTCGATAAACGCGAACGAGACAATGAACCAGCGTCCAGGTAGGCTACCTTGAATCCAAACGGTAAAGCAGAAGTCTTGGTAAGCGTAGAAAGTATATTCTACAAACACCCAGCAATCACAGTACAATCAAGCATACAACTCTCGTTTATTTATACATCATAGAAACGTCCTTGGGACAGTTATGAAAATAGCATACTAAAATACACAGCAGCCAATCACAGCCATGGATTTTCCTGGTAGGAATTGAAATCTCAAGGTCAACTGATCAACCCATGCTGGCAAACGTGAAAACCTAAATGAGGCATTTATCAAGCGAGTTTTGGGGATCTAACATCCCCAACAGCATGGCTAACCATCGACTGCCGCGACGAGCCGTTTTGCAGTGTAGGAGTAGGTTGGAAGAAAGCTAGTGGCTCCCAATCCACAACATGGCAGAAATACATGAAGTCACTGACAAGTGGGCTGAGTCATGTTGGTGGCAGGTTTCGACTACCTGGTTGGGGTCCGCAAGATGATAATAATCGATGGTTAGAGACCCTGAATGAATGAGTGGCTCAAAACCGTTTGCAATGCCACAGGTGCATTCATTCTTTGTGTTCTCTCAAATGCTTAAGTTTTTAATTCCTCATCACTTTATCTTTATTTTTTCAAGTTTATTTCACTAGATTCTACTTCTTGGATAATTTCTTCGAACCCTAATCTTCTCCATTACCGCTAATACTTCCATTATCTTTACCACTATGGGATTAGAACTGACAATTGTTTCTCTGTGCTAATGTGGTATGGCAACTTGAACTAATGTACCTACGTACGAAGTTCTATGTTGTTGTTGACTGAAAGAATACGTTTCTCGAAATCTTATTTCACCTTTTTATTTCTAGATCTAATCTTTTCTACTATTAATGACACTGTTACTTATCTTACTATTCTAGATTTGTCTTGAAATAACATTAAGCATTATGCTGTGAGACGTCGAATTAGTCAAAGTGAGAATTGTATTTCAACTTATTTGATAGAATTCTGTCAGCTCTAAGTGCTAATAAAGTACATGGCCTCATTTCGCGACGTTTGATTGGCCTGTAGTGTGTCGATTGACTGCGTGTTCTTAAGCTCGGTAATTAGCTCGTCCAGACAATTGTTACTAAATAGCGTCTGACGGTTTATAAATCAGAAGGCGAATTCGAAGTGTTGTATACGTTTATTTTGGCACACCAAAATAGGGATAGCAGACCACAAGCAGACCGGGCAGGCACACTAGCAAGCGAATGTGCGAATGAATGAATAAGATTAAAAATGTTCGTATATATACAAAGGAAAATATCTGAGTCATCGAGGTATTTAAGAGATTAACATTAAAGCGAATAGGATCAATATGCGCGTAGGCGTTAAGCAATGCTCAGTCGTACAAGCTCATACAAACCGCACAATAATAAAAGCCAATGGTACATATAAGTTATTGTTTTACTAATGGACCACATATCTGAAACACTTTTACCATTTTTAATAAAAAAAAACGGTGAGAAGACGTAATTGATCTGATGTATTTATTCCAAAGTGGTTTCAAAATCACTTGACTTCAGATGAGTCGATAAACGTGGGAAACAGAAAACCATGTTCATCGATCGCAAAACACATAATTGAGGCAGGGCATTAGATTGACATCAAGACAGCCTTAAAAAACATTGTATAGAAACGTTGAAGGATGAATTTTGAGGTTTTTGGAAATTAAGACCCATCTAATGTGTATAGAAACAATTTGTTATAATCTTGAATTTACCTTGGTAATCTTTAACCCTATCGGGTAATGTGACAATTTTCTACCCTTTCTATATTACATGAATTTTCTCTCTCCTTTAGATTTGCAATGATCAGCTTATGTCTATTTGAACTTTTAGTAAAATTGACCTTTTATTGATCTTCATATATAAAATGCCTTGACAAGTGTTCATGTGTGTGACCAGATTGTTTTCGAAATGTGTATAGCGCGCAAATACATCATTTTATTATTATTCAGATCAATTTACTTCTTCTCACTATTCTATCAAAATTTATTAAAAGTGACTTAATTGTTTTCAACTTCAAATATTTATCCAATTAATAGTAGTAGTAACATTGCATCCCTACTGTCTATGCCAATGATGAATTAAATCACAAATACATAAAACACTATTTGATTAATACATATTACTGCTACAACTCCCTGTCACAAATTATTTTGGGTCAGAGTTTTGGAGGTTTGTGTTTTTACACATTTGAAATCATCAATCAATCAATCAATCATTGTTAGACCACCAATATTAGAAACTTGGAAGCATTGGACGGCCGTTTCGTCCTGGTATGGGACTCATCAGTGGCAGTGCGCATCCACGACTCTTGCTCCTCGTGCACAATACCGAAGGTGCCGGGTTCGAATCCTGCGAGGTGCAGGAGTCGTGGATGCGCACCGCTGATGAGTTCTATACCAGGACGAAACGGCCGTCAAGTGCTTCCAGGTTTCTAATGGTGGTGGTCTAACAATGATTGCAAATGTGTAAAAGCACAAATTATTTGGTGGAAGTGATGCATCTGAGTGAGCAACACTGTTATTAGGAATCGGGTGCTAGGTAAGAATGGTAGATCAATAGATGAAGTGCTGAAACTTCATCAGTTGAGGTGGTTGGGACATGTGTTGCGTATGCCTAACCACCGACTGCCTCATCGAGCCTTGTTTTGTAGTGTAGGAATAGGTTGGAAGAAAGCTAGGGGCGGCCAAACCAAAACATGGCACAAATCCATGAAGTCATTGACGAATGGACTTAGGCATGTCGGTAATTGTCGACTACCTGGTTGGGGTCCGCGAGATGATAATAATCGATGGTTAGAGACCTTGAATGACATGGCTCAGAATCGTTCGCAATGGTGCCGGTGCATTTATTCTTTATGTTCTCTCAAATCCTAACCTTCTGTATTCTTCAATCCCTCTAGTTTTGACTTTCTAAACTTTTCTCACTGAATCATACTTCTTGAATAATATCTTCTAATCCTAACCTGTTCGATTACTCCTAATACCCTTACTACCTCTTCTAATATTGGATTTGAATTGACAATTATATCTCTGTGCTGATGTGGTATGGCAACATGAACTGATGTACTTACGTACAAAGTTCTACGTTGCATCTGACTGACTGACTGAGCCTGTCATAATAACAAAAATGAAATGTTGATCCTTGGATTTTTTTATTTTCTTAATCTGTCATTGTTTATAATTTTTGTTGCAATAATCACATTTTTAATTTTGTTTATTTAATTTCAAATTCGTACTGTTTTTTTTTAACTTAAAACAATCATCATGTACGTGTGTACGTACGTACATTTAAACAGCTCGTGATTCAGTGGACAGTACAATTCCTCCTAATAAAACACATATAATTTTTCGTTCTGATTCAATGCAAGAAATGGTGAATCATTTAAAAAATATTCATTTATCTAATTTTATTGAACAACAACATCAACAACAACAACATGAAATAACCCCTTCATCAGATGATACCATTTTAATGATGAATGGTGTACCACAGTCATCTACGCCGCCGCCGCCACCACCTCCTCCACCGCCTCCACCACATTATCATCATCCTGCTGCTGTTGTAATTGGTTGTCAACAAACATCTTCGATGAATGGTGATAGTCGTAAAACTAATCAACATCATCATGTTTCCAATGCTGATGGTATGGTTTTGTTAACTACACAAAAATCATTTAATAATTCAGATGTTTTACAAATAATGAATGAACCACAACACAATCATATTCATAATAATAGCAATAATAATAATAATATCAAAACTAAATTAACTGTTAATTTAGTTCCAAATGTAGATTATAATATAAAATTTCAATGTATTGAATGTTCCAAAGAATTAAATTCTAAAGAACATTACACGGAACATTTTCAAGTGAGTTGTAATGTGTAAAAAAGATTTTCATAAACACTGTAAACTTTTCCTATTTGATAATGTTACATCATACATACACTAATGACTTTTAATTAATGAATCATTTTAAAGATTACACAAGACTGATGCCAGTTAGAGCAGCAGTTAGATTGATTAAGATCTTAGGTAGCATTTTAGGAACTGGACATAATCCCATCCGCCGGTTTCATGGCCCAAACCTGAGCATCCATGGTCCAGGATACATGTCGACTTCGCTGGCCCAATAAATGGAACTATGTATTTAATTGTCGTCGACGCCTTTTCTAAATGGCCGGAAATCAGCCCCGTTATGCCGCCCACTACAACTAAGACTATACAGCTCCTGACTGAAATTTTCTCAGGAAATGGCATACCAGATGTGATCGTATCCGACAATAGCTCTCAATTCACCTCTTCCCAATTCCAGACTTTCTGTCAACGGCTAGCTATTAAACACTTACGCTCGCCACCATACCACCCGCAATCAAATGGGCAGGCGGAAAGGTTTGTGGATACGTTTAAAAGAGCACTGCTTAAGTCGAAAGGGGAGGGGACGCCAGCCGACAAAATTTCTTGTACGTCTATCGGACAACACCAAATGAGTTGTTTGTTACCGGAGCAAAAGTCCCCAGCAGAAATCCTGATGGGAAGAACAGTGAAAACGATCCACAGCCTGATGCATCCGACAAATGCACCCTCATCAGTAGAGACAAAGCAGCAAAGACAATCCGCTTACGAAGTGGGATGCCCTGTGTTTGCCCGCGACTACAGAACGAACCATGGTCCTTGGGCAGAAGCGAGAGTGGTCAGAAGAGTTGGTCGAGTTATGTACGAAGTAGAGGTAGGAGGTGAAAAATGGTCACGTCATCGAAATCAGATAAGCAGACTGCTAGCCCCAGATCGCCCATCAAGAGCAGAAAGCCTTCCCCTTGACATCTTGCTTGATACTATCAACCTACCGGCAGCCACGCCACGAGAAGAAACTCAGCAGCAAGCTATTCTTTGTTCTGGAAGGTATCCTCTCTGACAGCGGCGAACGACAGTCAAGATGCAAGTCGACCCCAGGAGCACACGCTATTAAAGGGGGGAGGAGTGTTGGGGATGTTAGATCCCCAAAATTCGCTTGTTAAATGCCTTATTTTGGTTTTCACGTTTGCCAGCGTGGGTTGATCAGTTGACCTTGAGATTTCAATTCCCACCAGGAAAATCCATGGCTGTGATTGGCTGCTGTGTATTTTAGTGTGCTGTTTTCTTAACTGTCTCAAGGACGTTTCTATGTTGTATAAATAAATGAGAGTTGTATGCTTGATTGTACTGTGATTGCTGGGTGTTTGTAGAATATACTTTCTACGCTTACAAAGCCTTCTTACTTCAGCCTCGGATTCAAGGTAGCTTACCTGGATGCTGGTAAAAGTCTCGTTCGCGTTTATCGACTTAGGTAAACTCGTAATAGCCTCAAGCATACTAAGTGACAAACCCTACACTCACTGATTGTGCCAGTTCTATTAAAAAAAAGGACAAAAGTTCTCTTGTTATAATGTTTCGTTTTTTCACCGGATATGAACTGCGCACACTTACCAGTAGTCATCGATCTAATATAAATGCGAGAACTTTATTTTTTAAACGTTGAAGTGAATTAATCGTATCAATTTGTAAATACTTCTGATTTGTGAGAATTTACTTGTGTGTCATCTGTTCCTATTGTTCAAAGCATCCGTAAAAAAATGTTCAAACGAATAGTAGATTCTGTACTTGCCCAATCGTTTCACATTTTCTTGTCTCGTGGTCCCTAGTGCTGTCATCATCAAATAACCATTTGCTATTCTGAGAATAAACATAAATCTCAAAGTTTTGTGTTTGATCAGTAAGGAGAGCAAGGAATTAAACTTGAGAATCACTAGTAATATTTTTGAACTTCACCTAAAGCCCTTCTAGAGTTACTTCCGAGCCTAAGCCGTGATAAAGGAGGAAAGTTCGGCATGGGGATAGCGACTGCATCCCGTGAAAAACTAACTCATTAAAGAACGCTGACCAGAAAAATATAATTCAAACCATTTTAAACTCTGCCTTGCGAGTTAGAACATCTTCATTTAGAACAGTTATGACAGCTATGATATCTCATCATTAAAGCCGAGTTTATTCGGATGTCACGGGGCCGATACCCCCCTCCTCACAACCACAGCAATTATTAGTTTAGGTGCATCGAATGTTCGTACATTGTAGGAGACAGAGAGAGTCATCCAAATCGCCCTCAGAACTGAAAAGATACAACCAGAGGTGCTTGGATTCAATGAAACACATTGGACACATGTTTGACCAAAATGACTAGTTTCAAGTGCAATGCTGTTATATTCCGACCATGAAGAAGAAACTGCTTTTCATACACAAGGAGTTGCACTGTTGCTATCAAAACAAGCATAAAAGTATTGATGGGATAGTAATCATCAAAGCCTACTTCGAAACAAAGAAAGAGAGGATTACAATGAATATCATTCAGTGCTATACACATACCAACGATAACAGTGAGAATGATGAAGATTGATTCTATGGTCTGCTACAGTCAATCATGCTGAAATGCCTAGCAACAGAGTTGACCATTCTGATAGGTGATCTAAACGATAAATTTAGAATAGACAACATTGGATTTGAAGACTTCAATGGACGACGCAAACTGTGATAAACGAATGAAAGTGGTGGAGATTTGCAGATCTATGTGCTTTCAACAAAGTGGTTATAGGCTTTGGATAAGATTCAAAAATGGCAGAAGAGGAAGGCATCAATCAATTACAACGAAACAAGAGCAGAGACAACCAAGACGGGCTTGAATACACAGAAGTAGACAAGCAGGTAAAGAATAGCATCACAGTCAACATATGTACACAAGGGTAAGATGCAGCGACGATAGCAGAAAAAGCTGCAAGAGAAGGAAAGATGAGACGAAAATTTGGCAGATGGGATAAGTTCGCTGAAAATGTCGTAAACCCAAAATGACCAGTGAAAACCATTGAGACAAACCAATCACGGACATTGAGGAACAAAGAAGCAGATGGGTAGAGTACATTGAACAACTTTTGGGTAAACCAGCCTCATGGAACCTTATCAATATGAAAGCAGCGCCCGCATACCTCTTGTTTGATCTGACAGATCAAGAGTGGTAAAGCAGCCGGACCAAACTATGAAGGCATCATTATTCTGTCAATATCAGGAAAAGTCTTCAACAGAGTGTTGTCAAACATAAGGTAGACGTCTAACTTCGGGATCAACAGGCTGGATTTCGTAGGGATCAATTGTGTACCGACCGAATTGCAACATAACAGATTATCATGAAACAGTCAACTGAACGGAACTCAGCAGTGCACATCAAAGTCCCTGACTAGGACAAAGCCTTCAACAGCGTGGATACGACAATACTATGAAGGCTTCCTTGACACTACGGTGTGCCTGAAAAGATAGTCGACATCATACACAATTCTTATGATAGACTAAACTGCAAAACTTTGCAAAGGAATAAAGCAGACAGACTAGTTCGAAGTGAAGACTGGTGTTAGACAAGGTTGCTTACTGTCATCCTTCCTATTTCTTTTGATGGTCGACTGGAATATGGAAACGTCAGCATCTCAGGTGAAACACAAAATATAGAAAACATCTCGGATGCAGCTAGATGATCTGGACATCAAAGATTATCTGGCTTTCATATTCCACACAAAACAACAGATGAAGACGGCCAGTGTAGCAGTAAGCCTCACCCTACACAAGGGAAAAAACAAGATCCTCCGATAAAGCACAACATGCAGCAACCGAATCACAAATCACAATTCATGGAGAAGCATTGAAGGAGGTAAAAACCTGTACACACATGAGCCGCATTATTGATGAGAAAGCTGGGTTTGATGCTGATGCAAAGTCACAGATTCGTAAAGCGAAGACAGCATTTCTACAGTCGGTGAACATCTAGAACGCGAAACAACTGTCTCTCAGCCAACATCAAAGTCACAATTTTCAATACGAAGGTCAAGACACTTCTATTGTATGGAATGGAAACTTGGAGAACTACAAATGCCATCATCCACAAAATACAAGTTTTTGTTAACAAGTCTCTACGCATAATATTTCGGATCCGTTGGCCAGACACCATCAGCCAGAATCTACTGTGTGGGAAAACAAACCAGATTCTAGCTGACACACATTGAAGAAGGCACCTAATCGCGTCACAAGACAAGCCTTAACTTCGAATCCTCAATATCAATGGAAAAGAGGAATTCCACAGAACATATTACGCCATGAAATGGAGATAGACATGAGAAGAATGAACAATAATTAGACAGAACTAGAAAGTATGCCTCAGGATAGAGTAGGTTGGAGAATGCTGGTCGACGGCCTATGCTATATTAAGGGTAACAAGTGAAGGTATTATTATTTTTGTTATTGACAACTGGTCAGAATAGGAAAAAACAAATTTTCACATTATCCTTAGTTATAAAATTGCTGAAAGAAAACCATGGTAAATTCAAAATTGTAACAAATCATTTCTTTACGCATTTACGAACAGCCAACGCTTCCATGAACCTTAGAATTCGTCCTTGACCATTTCTCCGTAATATTTTAAAAGATGTCTTGATGTTAATCTTATGCCCTGGTACAATTATGTTTTTTCTGTCGATGAAGATGGTTTTCTATTGTTTACACGTTTATCAGGTCATCAGACGTGAACTGATTTTGAAGCCATTCAGGCTTATGTGCGCAATTATGAGCTTAGTTATATAGGTTCAAAAATATTGTGGTTATTATTTATTATCAGCCTTGCAACTCTATATGAAAGAATGTTTGTTATATGCTAAAAAAAGGTAGTAGTGAACTTTTGCACCTTTTACGTCAGCAGTATTATGGAAACTGTACCATTTGTAAATTAACACGAGTATTTAAATCATTGCGGTAGAGAAAATTTCATTAGAGTAGAGTTATGCAGATTATTGAGTTTCAATGAAATTAATTACCTAGAGTAATTCGTTGTAAACGTAATTTAAGTTGCAATCAATCAATCAATCTATTGACAACAAAACAATCATGTAAAGAAAAAAATTTATCCGGTTAACTTAAATCATCATCACATTAAAGAGGATAAGACTGATAACTTCCTGTTTATATATATGTATAACTATGACTCTCTTAATGTAGCCAAATGCCTCGTCATCTAATTGACGGGCGTAGCCTTAGAATGCCCGAGATGGCCTCGGGTTGAGCAATATTGGTGCCTTTGAGGGGGTTGTGGTGGCGACTACCTCTTCGTGGTCCCGCCAGGCAACGTGGCGGTGGCAACATCGCTGCGGCTAAAAGTCGTTCCGATCGCTTGGGATTCCGTGCTTTGCATGGTCCGGATAATTGGCACGCTCATGGTCGCAAGGCTGTGGATGCGTCTGACCAGTCTGGAGGATTAAGATGGTATCCCGTCCCTGAGCGTAGGTAAATTCTCGAAAGGGATGTAGTAGGATGATCGAGGGTGGCCCTGGACCCTAAGTCTGGGCAAGCAGCCGCAGATATCCTGGACTACTGACGCCCACCCTATGTGGTTGTCCCTTACATGCTTCACCCGATGTTGTGTGTGAACTGGCGTGGAGGCCCCTTAAACAAGGGTCTCAAGTTGGGTTCCGGTGCTTTAGTGCTGAAAAGGGTACTGAGACACCAATGATGTCTGCCCACTTCTGTGGGATGAATCCTGCTTGGCTGAGCGCTTGCGTTTGGTCGAGTCCATGACATCTTCCTCATGGAAGGGTGTACGTTCTAGCTGACCTTGTGGGACAAACTCGATCTTTAGCTTAATGCGGGGTAAGGTGGGCCTCGATCGATTGTATCAACGCAAGGCAGTTGGAGGCCAGACGGTTGGAATGGCTGCTGGTTAGTGCACTGCTTGGGTGGCTCGGTAACCTGCTACGGGGTCCCTTGTCCGGAAGGATAAGCCCCCCTTGCCGCCCTCGCCGATTTGGGATTGTGGGCTGTGGTTTGGTTGGTGGGATTTCTTGATTCATAAGTGCCTGTGCAGGGGCCACTGCTCGTGTGCGTGCTTTTTGGATGTCCGCTTTGTCTGCAGACCAAACCGGACAACATGTATGTACCCGAAAGGGGCAGGGGTCAGTACTGTCGGCAACAGTGATTATCCTTGTGCTGTATATCAACGCAGCGATGTGCATGTGCAGGAGGCATGTTGGTTGACCATGAATATATTATATATATATATATATATATATACTTACTTACGCCTGTTACCCCCAATGGAGCATAGGCCACCCACCAGTTTTCTCCAACCAACTCAGTCCTCCTAGGCTTCCCTCTCCAATTCTGTTCAATGTTTGTTCATTCCCCTCATATGTTTCTCTATTTCTCTGCGTAATGTATTCTTCGGCCTTCCTCTTTTCCTTTTGCCTTGAGGGTTCCATGTGACGCCTTGTCTCGTGATGCAGTTAGGTGCTTTTCGTAGTGTGTGTCCTATCCACTTCCACTGCTTCTCCCTGATTTCCTCCTCCACTGGAATCTGGTTTGTTTTTTCCCGAATTGAGAAAGATGATTGAAAAGTTAGAATGGCAAAGGAAATGTAAACATATTCAGAGATTGAAGGTCAAGTAATCTGGTGATATAGATAGACTGATAGATAAAGATAGACTGACCAAAAGGTTTTACTTGAATAGTTGTGTTTTTTAGCACATTTGGTTTGTGATTAGTTGAAATTCTGAACTGATCTTAACTAAACTCCCATTAAAAATCTAGAAACACTGTGGACGGCCTAGTATAGAACTTCTTAGCAGCAGTGCTCATCCAAGAACCCTGCTTGCGTGAAACTCCAACCTGTAGATCACTAAAGTGATATTGAACGATGCCTAATGTTTAACCTCAATCAATCTACAATCTTGCGTAATCTTCGTTCATTACGTAGGATAGTTAACTGCAGCGCAATCAACACAGATTGCAGTCCATTGGTCATGGCTTCTCACTAGAACTCCAGGAATACATTTTGAAGCCAGTTACCAACCATTAAGCTCATGATTTTTATCATTTATTCAACGGGATTTGTATAGATAATGATTGTACTAGTCCATGGATTGATTGAAGTTAGTTAGACTTTAACACCTTGAGTTTTCATGCACCACACCCGAAAGTTCTGGGTTCGATTGTTGCATTCAGCATCAAAGATGTACATTGTTGAGAAGTTCCATACAAAACGACTAGTTCATTGATTTCCTGATTTTCAATGATGATCACTGTACAATTTCACTAGTAAAGAATTATTAACTTGCACTTTTTTGCTAATTGTGTTACCACCACCTGTTCAACAATCTATTTTTTCATTTCATCATAATTGTTTAACTTCTTTCTTCTCTTAGACAGAACATGGATCAAAATGTAATCGTGAATGTTTTTATCGTTGTTTTGGTGCATGTAAACGTCTTCTACCAAATGTGAATGTATTTCGTGAACATTTAACTGAATGTCTTCATGCTCAATCGATTTATTATTCAACATTTGGTCATTTTTATAATAAAGATCAAACATTTCATTTACTTAATGTTACTTCCACATCAACGAATAATAATAATAATAGTAATGAGTCACAAGAACATTTAACAACAACAACTACTACTGATCGAATATTATCAAAAGATTTATATCAACTTAATAAATACAATATTCATGATAGTACTAATATTAATAGTAATAATAATAATACATTTGGTTGTAAATTATGTTTTTGTGCTTATTGTGGTATTGGTTCACAAAGAAAAACTATGAAGAATTCTTCATCAACATTTGATCCATTAGTACTTGGTTTAGAGTCTTGTACATCAGATGATGGTAAGTGAATTAACTATATATATATATATATATATATATATATATATATATATATATATATATATATATATATATATATATATAAACTGTTAGTGGGACATAAATGGAATTAAAGCATGACTACGTTGCTACGCGCTGATTGGCTAATTTCTTATCCAATCAACGCCTGATCGACTCTTGGAGAATAGCGTAGAAAATTCTCATATTGTTAACTGCATGCTGATTGGCTATTAATCTAATCCAGTCGATCACGTGAATTTCTATCCAGAAGCTTCTCATGTAAATGCTATAAATAGACTAACGTTGTATCTATTTTCGGCCTTCGCCTTCGCCATTACCATCACCTTTGGCTTCTTATTTCTATTTAACCTTGCTATTTGGAATATAATCTTTCCATGTTCAACCGTGTTTTTGATTCTTTGGAACACTTGTCCAGTGTATTGTGTGGTCAGAGAATACTAAGCAATAGGGTTTAGCTGGGAATTATTTAAGCAAATGTTACAACAGATTCAATATGTAAATCATCCACAGTGAGGATTGAGTTTTTATATCTGTGTGATAAGTCTTAATCATTTTTGGAAATTTACATTGTGAATTTCATTGCTCAGGCTTACTTATAATCTAAATAAATTAAGGTTTGTACGCTGTAAAACAACAACATCAACATAATTATTGATAGGTTTTTTTTCTCTCTCTTTCTTGAAACCAGTTCAGTGTAAAAAAAAAACACAACAAACAACGTAGAATAACATTTTATTATTTTAAATGATATGGTTATTTATTACGTCGGTTGTTTGTATGATTGTTCAAAGTATAAACTTGTTTCTATATATATATATATATATATATATATATATATATATATATGATAGAATCAATCGACTAAACAAACTTGTACTTGGGATTATCAATGGAGATTTAAAAAAAAAGACGAATATTTTAATCTCCATCCTAAGTAATGATGGTAGATCAATAGATGAAGTAGTGAAACTTCATCAGCTGAGGTGGTTGGGACATGTGTTACGTATGCCTAATCACCGACTGCCTCATCGAGCTATGTTTTTCGATGTAGGAGAGTAGGTTGGAAGAAAACTAGTGGCGGCCAATCCAAAACATGGCAGAAATTCATGAAGTGGCTGACAAGTAATAATCGGTAGTTAGGGACCCTGAATGACATGGCTCAAAATCGTTCGCAATGGCGCCGGTGCATTTATTCTTTGTGTTCTCTCAAATCCTAATCTTCTGGATTCATTAACACCTCTAGTTTTGTCTTTCTAAACTTTTCTCATTGAATCATACTTCTTGAATAGTATCTTCTAATCCTAACCTCTCCGATTACTTCTAGTACCTTTACTACCTCTTCTACTATTGGATTTGAATTGACAATTACATCTCTGTGCTAATTTGGTGGTATGGCAATATGAACTGATGTACTTACGTACGAAGTTCTACGTTGCATCTGACTGACTGACTTTATTTCATTGATGATTACTTGTTGAATAATTCATTTGGAAGTAATGTTCTACATTGTTTATTCTATTTTTTTTTTCCACACACAGGTAATTCTATTCCACGCATCAATAACAACACTAGTAATCATCATCATAATCATCACAGTGATAATGTTCTACGATCACAATTTTCAATAGATAGCTGTAGTACTACAGGTTATTTATCAGAGGATGATCGTATGGTGGGCATTGATACAACTACACAATCAATTCAGAATCATAACACTATGAAACAACATAGTACTTCTACTACTACTACTACTAGTACTAGTACTAGTACTACTACTACTACTGCCCCTACTACTATTCATGGTAATCAACATCATAATCGACATAGTGTTGGTGTATATGCACCAAAATATTTTTCAAATTTAATCAATTTACAATATCATGAGAAAAATTGTCATTATTCTAAAAGAAATAATTTAATTGCATGCCCATGGTGTCATATACAAATGACTTTTACAAAAAAACGAAATAAAATTACTGATATGCATTTACATTTATTATCACATGTTCAAGAACATTGGTAAGTGAATGAGTGAGTGAGTGAGTGAGTTAGATGAGATGAGATGAGATGAGATGAAGTGATTGGTTGGTTGGAATAGTGCAGCTCTCACCAGTAGATGAATTTGTAGGTCTCTGTGTATCTGTATGTGTGTGTATGAACTTGCAATTCATTAGCCAAGAGTAATAAAATTATCAATAAAAAAGGAATTTTAATTAAACCGAATACAAACACACACACATATATATATACCACAATGCCAAAAACAAATGTTCTAATTAACTAACTCTACTATGGTATGCAATGACATAGTCGGTCACACATTGTAGAATGCAAATAGTGTTTAATAATAATAATAATAAGTTCAATATCATGAAATTGCTTATGAAGAAGAGGTTTTTAAAATTTTTTAGACTTTAGAAATGAACATCTTACTTAGGAAACCAATTGAATATCGTATTTCAAGAACTTGTTGTGTGTGTATGTTTGGTACTACGATTGAGTGGAGAAGGTGACGACGTTTGAAGTGAAAGACAGTGGGTTCGAGTCCTGGAGTGAATGTCAAATCTGTGACTAATAATAATAGTAATAATTCAATATTATTCAATACTGAAATCATGAATTGATTGATCATTGGTAAATCACAATTAGAAACATAGAAACACTTGACGGCCGTTTCGTCCTAGTATGGGACTCATCACTAGTGCACATCGACGACTGTAGCTCGTGGGAATACAACTTAGGATAAACCAGAACATGGTACCAATCCAAGAAGTCACTAACAAGCCCGACCGAAGCTGCTACCTTGACGTGGTGGTCGGGCTTGACTATCGTGATGACCCAACCGACCTATATTGGCTGGAACTCATGTTCCTGAAGGTTCTACCATGCCAGGCAGGTCGATTGGAGAACGATGAGACTAAAAGCAGCTACTCAAGGTCTGAGGGCGAAGTCGTACTGCTGACTGTGATGGAGGGGTGTGACAGCAGTAAGAAGTTTCCCTCGGACAATCAGCATCTGCAGCGATGCTGCCTTCTCACAAGGAAGGAAGGATTAGAAAAGGTCAATCCTAAAAATGTCACACCTCACCCTAACTCACGGATTTCCATCTCCGGCGGTAAGGGTGCCCACTAAGGGCCTTTAAGAGAGGAGCTAACACTCAAAAAACCTTTCACAAAAAGACCTTGCGTGACCGGCCTCAAGCAGTTGTCCGTTGGGCTATGCGGTCACGCACCCAGGTCTCCAAGACCAACACTAATCTATCTTCCTTTTCAGGTCCCTCAAGAAACAACCTTCCACGGTGTGGGCAGCCGGGAAGTGATAACCGCCCTCATACCCGTCACAGCACACGAGACCAAATTGGTCGAAATCAAATCCTTCCTACATCCACACTAACAAGTGGACTGAGTCATGTTGGTAGATGTAGATTACCTAGTTGGGGTCTGCGAGACGAAAGTCACCGATGGTTAGAGACCTCGAATGAGATGGCTCAAAATCGTTTGCAATGGTGCAGATTCATTCATTCTTTGTGTTCTCTGAAATCCGAATCTTATGAATTCCCTAATCTTCTCCAATACTGCTAATACTTCTACTGTCGCTATCACTATTGGATTTGAAGCGACAGTTGCTTTTCTGTGCTGATGAGGTATGGCAACCGGAACTGATGTACGTACGTACGGAGTTCTGCGTTGTAACTGACTGACTGAATGACTGACTTAGGACTTTCAGCGAACGCTTAACCTCTAGGTCACTGAACCGGCCGGTAATGTCTAACTTGGATCAATCTAAGGTTTTGAGTAACTTCACCAATTGTCTTTGATAGTTACTGTTTATTACACTCAACAGAGATGAACTCCACTGGTCATAGCTTCTCACTAGCAGTACGAGAATTCGATGTTACACTACACTATTCTCATCTAATTTTACATGTTATAAAAATTTTTTTTATAACACAGTTCATTCATTCAATGTTATCACATTGTATTTTGTATGTATGTATTCCGGTCAATTCTATTTACTGAAACCACAGTTGGTTTGTATGTTTGCTTACTTGCTTTCATTGTATCTTATACACGTTGTGTATTAATTAGTATACACTATGTGTTTATCTTTTGTTTCCTTTTTTTTTTTCTAAAGTATGGCTTCTTGGTGTATTGAACGTATGCGTAGGTGGAATGAGGACGCTAAAGGTTAGCTTTATACGTATATATGTGTACATATATATAGATACTTTGATAATCATTATTATTATAGTGTGGTAAATTCTTTTTTTGTTCAATTGTATATTACTTACTTAAAACTAACTCAGTTGTGTAAGTGACCTCTTTCTCTCTCTCTCTGCTGCTGCTTCTGATATAAACAACAACGATAACAGAAATGAAAAAGTGCAAAAAATTAATTAATTAATTAACTCTCTCTCTCTCTCTCTTTTTAATTAGAATAAACAATGATGATAAGTCTGTAATGTAAAATTATTTTATAGAGTTTTGATTTATCGTAACGCGTCTAATTAATTAAGGTGAGATGAATGAATGAATGAATGAGTGAATAAATGCATATATATATTGACTGATAAATTCCAGAAAACATAAAATAACAAACAAACAAACATAGATTTCTGATTAGTTTTCTATTTCATCATTGTTTCAGTTTCGGTTTTGTGATCTGAACAGTGTACAACTTTAGTTACAATATACCAAACTATGTGTGTAAAGATCAAGAAAAAAACACAGAGAGAGATTACAATCAATAGGTCCTTGGTTAGTAGTTGTAGTAGCAGTAGTAGTAGTAGTAGTAGTAGGGTGCTTAATTAACTTTCTCTAATCGATATATAAGGCTACTACTACTACTACTACTAGTAGTCCATGGTCTCGATAATTTCTTATCTGCTTTTTGTTGAGGCAGTAGTTAGTAGTAGTGCAACAACAAATGCAAGAGAAGACGACCAGTGTAGCAGCAGCCTCTGCAGCAGTAGGTCCTAACATACATAAAGGAAAAAGCGAAATTCTCCGATGCAACACAACATGCACCAACCAAATCACTCTTGATAGAGATGCCTTGGAGGACGTTAACACCTTTACATATCTGGTCAGCATCATCGATGAGAAAGGTGGATCCGATGCAGATGTGGGGGCGCAGATTGGCAAATCAAGGGCTGCATTTCTGCAGTTGAAAAATATCTGGAACTCCAAACAATTTTCAACCGAAATCAAAATCAGGATTTTCAATACAAATGTCAAAACAGACTTCTACTGTATGAAGCGGAAACATGGAGAACTACGAAAGGCATCATCCAGAAGATACAAGTGTTTACGAACAGTTGTCTTTGCAAAATACTTCGTATTCGTTGGCCAGACACCATCAGCAACAACGAACTGTGGGAGAGAACAAACCAGATTCCAATGGAGGAGGAAATCAGGAAGAAGTGGTGGAAGTGGATAGGACATACACTACGAAAAGCACCCAACTGCGTCACGAGACACGCCCTCAAATGGAACCCTCAAGGCAAAAGGAAAAGAGGAAGGCCAAGGAACACACTACGCCGAGAAATAGAGAAAGATATGAGAGGAATGAACAAACATTGGACAGAAGTGGAAAGGGAAGCCGAGGACAGAGTTGGTTGGAGAAAACTGGTTGGCGGCGGCCTATGCTCCACTGGGGGGTAACAGGCGTAAGTAAGTAAAGTAGGTAAGTTAGTAGTAGTAGAAGTTGATGAACACATATACCAGTACATGTCTATGACTACTACTTGAATGAGTTTTTATTGTGACAAAACAAATCAAAGAAATAGTGTCTTCATTGTATAAATTATTTTTATTATTTAACAATACTACTTATTATTATACTACTACTCATATTTAAATTAAATTGTTTTTTTCTTTCTTTTAATGTTTATTTTATTTTATTTTTTTTTCTCAAAAAAATTAGTTTTACCACATTGTGTATGTGGTTTAGCGTTATTAGATTCACCACAAGCAATTTTATCCCATGCTGGAGTACATTTATTATATACAAATAAATATAAATCATCAAATATTATTCCTAATTCATTACAATTTAAATATCGTTCAAATCAACAATTATTCTCATCATCATCATCATCAACCACCACCACCACCTCCTCCGCATCGTCATCGTCATCCTCGTCAACATCTTCATTTAAATCTCAATTTAATTCATCTGAAGAATTTTTATTCCCTAAACCTAGTGATCATATACCTTGTCCTATAAAAATTTATCGACATGTAAGTTTTCATCCTCCTATAAAACTATTTTTATCATTCATATTATTTTTTTCTTTTATTTAAATATAAATATTCAATGTACAATATGTTCGCACGTCAATGAAACACAAATCAATGAATTCTGAACATGAAACTACTCAACTTATATCTTGTTGTCTAGAAAAAAATAACAACAACAGGATATTGTCTGTGTTGCATGTCATTATTTTGTAAAGTATATTAGGAAACCAATTTTGACTGGAAAAAAATTTAAATTTCCTCCAGTTTTTTGTCTAATACAACAACACAAACGAAACTTTAGTCAATCAGCCCATCAACCACAACAACGTGGAACTTTAAACGTACATACATACATCAGTTCAAGTTGCTATACCATACTGGTCGAGATTGTTGGAAGTATTAACGGTAATGGAGAAGATTAAGGTTTGACGATATTATTCAAGAGATAGAATCTAGTGAAATAAACTTGAAAAGAAAAAGATGAAGGTGATAAAGAATTCCAAAGATTAGGATTTGAAAGAACTCAAAGAAGGAATGCACCTGTACCTCTAAAAACGATAGTAAGCCATGTCGTTCAAGGTCTCTAACCATAGGTAACTTTCATCTCGCGGACCCCAACCAGATAACCTACATCTACCAACATGACTCAGTCCACTTGTCTATAACGTCATGCATTTCTACCATGTCCCATAATACACAAGCAATGCTTCGAAGACACCTATGATCGAAAACCAGTAACCGACGAATATCTTCTACTCTCACTGGCAATGTTTCACAGCCAAAACGTAAGACGGAGCGAACTACTGTGCAGTAGACTTGTCCTTTGGTTAGCAAACGGATAACTCGCATACGCTATAGGTGATGAAGGTTGGCAAAAGTCAATCAAGCCTTCTGAATCCGTGCTAAGATTTAGTCAGTCACCAAGCCATCAGAACTGATGAGACTCCCGAGATAAGTAGAGCGGTCTACACGCTCGACTACTTCACTCCCTATCACAAGCGAGACTTGGTAAAATGCCTCTTCAGTAAGGTAAAAAGAATATGCACTACTGATGTATTTGAAGACGATACGAAATTCTTGACTGAAACATTGATTTCAAACAGTTTTCCACCAAAGTTTATAAATAGGCGTAGAAATCATTCAAGACAAAAGCACATGTCTTTTACTCTGTGGAAAAGGAAAAGTGTTTATATCTCTTCACCATCTAGGGGTGAATCAAACATTTTGTTCTTAAAACATAAACTAAAAGTAGCCATAGAGAAAACATATTATGCTACTAAACTGATTATAATTGAAAGGACTAAGCTCATAATTGCGCACATAAGCCTGAATGGCTTCAAAATCAGTTCTTGTCTGATGACCCGATACACGTGTAAACAGTATAAAAACCATCTTCATCAATTGTAAAACACATAATTGTAACAAGGCATAAGATTAACATCAAGACGGCTTTGAAAATATTACAGAGAAATGGTCAAGGACGAATTCTAAGGTTCATGGAAGTGTTGGCTGTTTGTAAATTCTAACTCACCTTATGCGTAAAGAAATGATTTGTTACAATTTTGAATTTACCATGGTTTTCTTTCAGCAATTTTATAACTAAGGTCAATGTGAATATTTGTTTTTTCCTATGTAATATCAAGTTATTTTCTATTCTGACCAGTCGTCGATAACAATAATAATAATACCTTCATCTGTTACCCTTAATACAACATAGGCCGTCGACCGGAATTCTCCAACCTACTCTATCCTGAGACTTGTTTGATAGTTCTGTCTAATTATTGTTCATTCTTCTCATGTCTATCTCCATTTCATGGCGTAATATGATCTCCGGAATTCCTCTTTTCCATTGATATTGAGGATTCGAAGTTAGGACTTGTCTTGTGACACGATTGGCTGTCTTCTTCATTGTGTGTCCGCTAGAATCTGGTTTGTTTTCCTGCACGGTAGATTGTAGCTGATGGTGGCTGGACAACGGATCCGAAATATTATGCGCAGAGACTTGTTAACAAAAACTTGTATTTTGTGGATGATGGCCTTCGTAGTTCTCCAAGTTTCTGCTCCATACAATAGAACTGTCTTGACCTTCGTATTGAAAATTGTGACTTTGATGTTGGCTGAGAGACAGTTGCTTTGAGTTCTAGATGTTCATCAACTGTAGAAATGCTGTCATCGCTTTGCGAATCCGTGACTTTGCATCAGCATCAGATCCACCTTTCTCATCAATAACGCGGCTCATGTGTGTACAGGTTTTTACATCCTTCAATGCTTCTCCATGAATTGTTATTTGGTTGTTGCATGTTGTGCTTTATCAGAGGATCTTGCTATTTGTTGTTTTGTGTGGAATATGAAACCTAGATCATCTGCGAAGTCCAGATCATCCAGCCGCATGCGAGCAGTCCACTGTGTTCTGTGCTTCTCCTGAGATATTGATGTCTTCATAATCCAGCCGACTATCGTAAGAAATAGAAAGGATGACAGTAAGCAACCTTGTCTAACACCAGTCTTCACTTCGAACGAGTCTGTCAGCTGTATCCCTTTGCAAAGTTTTGCAGTTTAGTCTATCATAAGAATTGCGTATGATGTTGACTATCTTTTCAGGCACGCTGTAGTGTCGAAGAAGTCTCCATAGTTTCATCCTGTCCAAGCTTTTGAAGGCTTTCTCCTAGTCAAGGAATTTGATGTACAGAGCTGAATTTCATTCATTTGAGTGTTCCCGAATGATCTATAATGTTACGATTTCATCGGTATACAGTCTATCCCTACGGAATCCAGTCTGCTGATCTCGAAGTCGGGCGTCAATGGAACTTGTATGAAATGCATGAATAGTGACAATGGATTGATGTTGTTTGCAACAGGAACAGTCCAGTTCGATATGATGCTGGACTGATATTTTGCAAATGAACGATTTACGATATGGTTTCCCGATTTTACTGAGTAACTCTATAATTTTCGTTAAATACAATTCGGTTGCCCCCCACCTGTGTTCTCGTTCACTACACTATTATTTCTCAATGAATGAAAATTATCAATGTTAACAAGCATTAGTTTTAAACAATTCTCAATGCTTTATATTGTTGTTTTCAATCTTTATTTTTTCCCCCTCATATTATTCTGACTAGATAACTGATTCCAGGGTTTTTTGTTTATCATTGAATTCCATAGATAGGTGGGTCATCATTCATGGTGGTTTTCTACTATATACATGTATATCACTTGCATGATTTGTTTTTGGTATTATTGTGGTGATGGTTATTTCGGAAATTTTCCATTTCCTTTTCTAGGTTACTCATATGTTAGTTATGTCAGTCAATACTACTAACATGTATTATTATTATTATTATTAATTTCGTTGTACAGTATTTATGTGTTCAAATTGATCAACAGTGTGTTGTAATATGTTTTGTTTGAATGATTTTTTTTTTCCTGGAGATTGGTTTTAAATTTAGTAGGTGTTGTATTCATCACGCATTGATCTCAATTAGGAGAGCAATCGATAACTGGCGACACTCACTGACTAAGTAAGTGTTTCGTCCTGATTTACGACTTTTCAACTGAAGACGCTGACAAAGTGCAGAGTCTTCTGCCCACCCTAAACAACAATGCAAGCATGTTCGGGATGCGGTTTTCCCCCCTCGAAATGCAAAATGTTGCTTCAAGATTGGGTTGCATCGGCACCTGAACTAGTGATAGGAAGTGAAGTAGTCGAGCGTGTAGACCGCTTCACTTATCTTGGGAGTCTCACCAATGCTGATGGCCTGGTGACTGACGAAATCTCAGCACGGATACAGAAGGCTCGATTGGCTTTTGCCAACCTGCGTCACTTATGGCGTAGGCGAGACATCCGTTTGCTGACTAAAGGATGAGTGTATTGCGCAGTAGTTCGCTCCGTCTTACTTTATGGCTGTGAAACATGGCCAGTGAGAGTAGAAGATATTCTTAGGTTACTGGTTTTCGATCATAGGTGTCTTCGAAGCATTGCTGGTATATCATGGGACACCCGAGTGAGCAACGCTGTTATTAGGAATCGGGTGCTAAGTGAGGATGGCAGATCAATAGATGAAGTAATGAAACTTCATCAGTTGAGGTGGTTGGGGCATGTGCTGCGTATGCCGAACCACCGACTGCGTAGACGAGCTTTGTTTTGTGGTGTAGGAATAGGTTGGAAGAAAGTTAGGGGCGGCCAAACCAAAAGATGGCATAAATCCATGAAGTCATTGATGAGTGGACTTAGCCATGTCGGTAATTGTCGACTACCTGATTGGGGTCCGCGAGATGATAATAATCGATGGCTAGAGACCTTGAATGACATGGCTCAAAACCGTTGGCAATGGCGCCGGTGCATTTATTCTCTGTTTTCTCTCAAATCCTAATCTTCTGGATTCTTCAACCCCTCTACTTTTGACCTTCTAAACTTTTCTCACTGAATCATATTTCTTGAATAATATCTTCTAATCCTATCCTCTGCGATTACTTCTGATACCTTTACTTCCTCTATTACTATTGGATTTGAATTGACAATTATTTCTCTGTGCTAATGTGGTATGGCAACACGAACTGATGTACTTACGTACGAAGTTCTACGTTGCATCTGACTGACTGACTGACTGACTTTTCAACAATGCGACCCAGTATTTGTAATGATCAATCATCCATTATGAGATATGACAGTCCTCCTGAGTCCCATCCTAGCTGAGTTCGTGAATAGTTTCGTACCAGAACAAAACAGCTGTTTAGTGTTTGCTTATTTTCGATAAAAAAAACCATAACCAAATGGTCAATCAATCTGTATTGAATAAAACCTAGAATTCACACCAATTCAGAGACTTTTTTTTCTATTATTTTAATCTTATTCATTGATCATTAATTTCAAAAATGTCCCCATTTTTGTTTATTTGTAATTCTATCTTTGTAGTTACGATTTGGTGTTTCAGCAAAATTCGATATACATCTTTCACAATTCAGTTATCAAAGTTCATATTTCACATGTCCTGTATGTTGGAGTAAATTCAATACTCGTTGGGCTTTAACACAACATGCTTTTTCTGAGCATTGGGTAAGTGTATAATATTGTTTACAATTTGATTTGTTTATCATTTATCTAACACATTGTATATATATCGCTCTTCTCTTCAGATAATTTTAACTTAATCATATTAACTGATGATTTATTAATTTTTGGTTAACCCGCCTTTAGTTTATCGTTTAAATATTTTAAAACTGTTCAACATCTATGATGTTTTGTTACCAATGAAACAGTGAATATTGTTGTTGGAGATGTTAGATCCCCGAAATTCGATTGATAAATGCCCCCATTTCGGTTTTTCACGTTCGCCAGCATGGGCTGATCAGTTGACCTTGAGATTTCATTTCCCACCAGGAAAATGGATGGCTGTGATTGGCTGCTGTGTATTTTAGTGTGCTGTTTTCTTAACTGTCTCAAGGACGTTTCTATGTAGTATAAATAAACAAGAGTTGTATGCTTGATTGTATTGTGTGATTGCTGGGTGTTTGTAGAATATACATTCTACGCTTACAAAGCCTTTTTACTTCAGCCTGGGGATTCAAGGTAGCCTACCTGGACGCTGGTTCATTGTCTCGTTCGCTTTTATCGACTAAGGTAAACTCGTAATAGTAGCCTCAAGGATACTTAGTGACGAGCGTAACAAATGTTCACCGTTTTTATTTTGTTGAAAATTTGCGATCAGCGTTAATTATCCATGTATTAATAATTCAATCAGCATTTGTTATTCTCCTAATATCACCGCCATAAATTGGTGTTTTCCTCTCATTATTAATTGATAAGGGTCACATAGATCTCTTATGAGCTGTCAAATGCCATTTTATTACTCTTATACTCTATCTGAAATGGTTAGTTGGCAAAACTCCTACTGGAGCTTGTATATATGTGAGATGAATATCATGTAGCAATTAAGTTCAATGTTTCATTGTTTCTGAATACCACAAACGAGTACCACAAACCTAATCTTCTGGATTCTTCAACACCTCTAGTTTTGACTTTCTAAACTTTTCTCATTGAATCATACTTCTTGAATAATATCTTCTAATCCTAACCTCTCCGATTACTTCTAATACCTTTTACTACCTCTTCTACTATTGGATTTGAATTGACAATTACTTCTCTGTGCTGATGTGGTATGGCAACTTGAACTGATGTACTTACGTGTGAAGTTCTACGTTGAATCTGACTGACTGAATGGCACAAACTATTCATTTAGCCTACTTACTCCTTAGACAGTATCCATTACCTTTCGTTTTTTAGATGCTTGATGCCATCCATTATGGGTACTCATCATCATGTTAACTTTCTATTATTACAAGACCCTTCTATCGTTTGACTATCTGTAATCCTTTTAGTTTGCAGTTTTCCATATTCAATTGCTTGATAACCAGATAACTAATTATACAGTTCAAATATATGAATCACTCATGCATAGCGATTTCTGATCAAGTGTTAACAGAATTAAGAAACTACTATGTTTTGCTATAACTACGCTATTATTATAAGTGGAATTCGACTAATAAATTAACAATAATTTAAGAAGCTTACAATAGTTTCGAAGGTTTCCATACGGTTCTCCTATCTACACTGTCAAATACTTTCTCGTAGTTCGATGAAGTAGATACAGAATGATGAGTTCTATTGAATTGATTATTCAACGGTGAAACTCATCAGCAGCTACTATTTGATCATTGATATTTGTTACGGCTGCATGTAGTAAACTCGTCATTTTGATATACTTGAACTATTACGAGTGTTTACCTTAGTCGGAATACGAGAACGAGGATCCGGAGACACGACATGCTACTCAAATCCGATTATCCCAACTCCCATATTGAGTAAAAATAAGAAGACTTGATATGAAGTAGAACGTGTATTCTACAAGCATCCATAAAGTACAAGAAGACTACCTGGTTGGGGTCCGCGAGGTGATAATAATCGATGGTTAGAGACCTAGAATGATATGGCTCAAAACTGTTTGCAATGGTGCCGATGCATTTATTCTTTATGTTCTCTCAAATCCTAATCTTCTGAATTCTTCAACCCCTCTAGTTTTGACTCTCTAAACTTTTTCATTGAATCATATTTCTTGACTGATATCTTCTAATCCTAACCTCTCCGATTACTTCTAATACCTTTACTACCTCTACTACTATTGGATTTGAATTGACAATTATATCTCTATGCTGATGTGGTATGGTGACATGAACTGATGTACCTACGTAGGAAGTTCTACGTTGCATCTGACTGACTGACTGACATTTCGGTCGAATAGGAAACAGCATCGAAGTCTATGACATTGACAGTTAAGACGACCAATAAGAAACAACATTGGAGCACGTGACATTGATATCTAGAACGACCATAAGATTGACCAATAGAAATTAACCAATAGGAATTGACCAATAAATTCTCTTAGGATATTGGATGAATAATATCCTAACAATATCTTCATACCATTGCTCGCATTTTTGAAACAACCTGGTGAAAAATACTAAGATTAGGGGATTGATTGATTAGGTAATGAGCTTTCATCAAGTTGTGATTTGAATGAAAATTTTCCTAATCTTCTTTTCTCTTTATTCTCTTAGGGTACTCTCTGTTATATTTGTTGTGTTTATATTTTCAAACCGGTTGAAGGGAATAATTCAGTTGAACGGAGAATTAATCATCATGTCAACACTACAGATGTATGTACTACTACTGCTACTACTACTACTATGCCCACATCCTGTTCTTATCCATCATTGCCAAAAGTAACAGCAACTGTAAACGCAAATAATACAAATGACCATCCGCAGTTGAATTCAACATCGAATGCAACATTATGGGATCATATATTTTTATGTATGAATCATCGTTTAGAATTATTAACCAATGGTGGTCATCAAAATAATACATCAACATTGTCAATGGAACCAATGATAAGGAATAATAATCAAGACAATACTGATGGTAGATTGTTAGAAAGTCAGATAAATTGTGAAAATGAAAATAATGGTAAATTGTTTTTTTATCATTAATAATATTATTATTAGTACATGAATAAACATAAAACCATAATAGTAAACAGTACTGATGTACTAATAAACTTTAATGATTATTAAAAATAACTATGATTGGATTTTTTTCGGGCAGAGTTTTGAAGGTTTGTGTTTAAGTTACACATTTGAAATCATCAAGATGTGAGACCAATGGAGTTCAACCCTGTCGGGTGGTAGGCAGTAACTATCAAAGACAAATGGGTGAGGTCGTGCAAAATCCATAGATCAATCAGAGTTAGACATTAACACCGTTGGATGCCGCCGGTCCAGTGGTTGGATGGTTAGGTGTTCGCGCACAATACCGAAGCTCTCGGGTTCGGATTCTGCGAGGTGCAGGAGTCGTGGATGCGCACCGCCACTGATGAGTTCCATACCAGGACGAAACGGCCGTCTGTCAGTGCTTCCAGGTTTCTAATGGTGGTCTAACAATGATTGATTGATGATTTCAAATCATTGGATTGTTTGTTTTTTTTCATGAAATTGAAAAAGTGATGAATAGGATAGTCTGTATTACATTTAAAAGATTAAATATAACCTATTTTGTGATGATAATAGATAATATAACGATGACCTTCTATGGCTTATCAGTTGCCTATCAGAAAATCTTACCTAGTAATAAGGTATGAAACAATCAACTGTTAGAATCAATTAATAATCAGTAGAGTAATTATTAGCTTTCATCTGAGTTATCAATCTTCACTTGTCGAATTATCTATTTATTGTATTGGAATGGAAACAGAAGCCAAATTCACCTGTTAAAAATCAAGCTGGAATTATGAGTTTAATTCGTCTCATTCAGGTCAAGGTTTTCATTACGAAATGACAACATCATTCATGAAATGGTAATTGCTTGTCATTGCACTATTTACAAACTTGGCAGATTGGTAGTTGAAATTAGGAGTGGGAGTTAGGAATCGAGGTCATTCTGTCACCCTACTGAACACTCTTGACTTTACGCATTGGAGAATCATATCAGGTAATACAAACACACAGTCTGCTGTAGGCGAGGGAATGCTTTGTAATTTAGCTTAGGTTGTATAATAGGAATTTAGATTGATTTTAAGCATTTGAGAGGTTGAGTTTAGGCAATTGTTACTTGTCTAGCAATGATACACATGTTATTTATTGGTGCTCTTTTGAATTACAAACGATCTTGTTTTTCTTATCCGAAATTGTCACTGAAGTGCGGTTATAGTTTGCTATAAATTTGTACACACACACATATTGTAGTGAAGGAGAACACAGGTGTGGGTAACTGAACTGTATTTATCGCAAATTACAGAGTTACTCAGTAGTAAAATAGGAAAACCATATCGTAAATCGTTCATTTGCAAAATATCAGTTCGTCATCATATCGAACTGGACTGTTCCTGTTGCAAAACATCAATCCATTGTCACTCACTATTCATGTGTTTCATACAAAAATTCCATTGTGTTCTATCTAACTCTTCCTTTCTCTTGATCTTCCCCCATCTTCGGCTGCTGCGAGACATTACGTTGACACTCATGTCATATACTACTTATAAGTTTCTCACACCACAATATCATTCATTAATTTTATGGCGTATTTCAAATCACTTAGCTTTATTACATAACAATTTCAACTAATTATATTTTCATTTTATTATTATTATTATTGTTATTATTATTATTATTATTATTGTATTTATTAATGTGTATACACAGATCCACAAGTACTTCACAATGTATCCAATGATACAACTATGCTTATCGACAGTTCTTCAACAAAACATAATAATCATCCTAATGAATTCATCTCTTTACAACAAACAGATTGGAATTCTTATTCTGAAGCTGTCAATACCACTTCATCGATTACTACCACTATTACTACTACTACTACTACTACCAGTAGTACAATGGATTCTATTGCAACAACAACAACAACGCACAATCATTCTAATTTTATTGTTCCTATGGATACAATGAATCATATTCAATCTGTTACATCGTCAACATCTTCATCTTCAATGCTGCTATCACCTGATCATTCTAATGAATATGTACATAAAATTTTCAATAATAAATTATTAAAAACAAAAACATCGAAATTGAATACACATCGTAAACATACCATTGTGTTAGATGGTAGTAGTAATGATCTTGATAATAATAATAATAATAATAAAAATAGTAATCATAATAATAATAATATTGAAGAAGATGATGATGATGATGCTGGGAATATTACCAGTGATCGTAATATGAAACAATTATCATCACAAAATTACACTGTAAACAACAATTCTGGTGAATTAATGATCATTGGATCGAAATCATTAGAATTAACTAGTCGATCACAACAGATCACATCTCATATGCATAAAAAACGACGTCGTCTTGCGAAAGATTTAAAAAATGATCATGAGACAGTGGTAAAACACCACAATCGAACTAGTTGTAATGATGAGGGTAGTGTGAGTAGTAGTGCTCCGACTATTATTACTACTACTACTAGTAGTAGTAGTAGTAGTAGTAGTAGTAGTAGTAGTAATAGTAGTAGTAGAATGAAGGATCCCATCTCTTATGGCAATTGTTTGCCCAATAATCCTGATTTAGATGAACAAGTATACTCAACTACTGCTGATAGTGTCAATAAAGAAAAGTGGGTCTTTGTTTTTATTTTATTTAAAATAAATGTACTGTTTTATTATTATTATTATTATTGGCAATTTAACTACAAATTCGTGGATATGAAATTCAAACCATGAGTAGGTAGGTGTTGGCTGTTCCTTTTTTTTTGGAAACCCTTAATTTAAACTGTCATTATTATCTATCAGTCGATTTTCAATTCCCCAGAACGTTCACTGTATTATTTATTGTTAAAAAAGCATCTTCACCATATATGTTGTAACGCTTGCTTAAATAATTCCCAGCTAAATCTTGTTGCTTAGTATTCTCTGACCACAATACACTGGACAAGTTCCAAAGAATCGAAAACACGGTTGAACATGGAAAGATTATATTCCAAATAGCAAGGTTAAATGAAAATAAGAAGCCGAAGGCGAAGGCCAAAAATAGATACAATGTTAGTTCATTTATAGCATTTACATGAGAAGCTTCTGGATAGAAATTCACGTGATCGAATGAATTAGATTTAGCCAATCAGCACGCAGCTAACAATACGAGAATTTTCTGCCCTGTTTTCCAAGAATCGATCAGGCGCTGATTGGATAGGAAACTAGTTAATCAGCACGTAACAACGTAGTCATACTTTGATTCCATCTATGTCCCACTAACAATATACCACCGACTGCCGCGAAGGGCTATGTTTTGCAGTGTAGTAGTAGGTTGAAAGAAAGCTGGGGGGCAGCCAAACCAAAACATGGCAGAAATGCATGAAGTCACTGACAACAAGTGGACTGAGTCATGTTGGTAGATGTAGGCTATCTGGTTGGGGTCCGCGAGACGATAGTGACCGATGGTTAGAGACCTTGAACGACATTGCTTAGAATCGTTTGCAGTGGCGCAGGTGCATCCACTCTTTGTGTTCTATGAAATTCTAACCTTCTGAATTCCTCATAATCTCTATCTTTCTCCTTCTAAAATTATCTCACTGAATTATACTTCTCGAATCATATCTTCGCTCCCTTATCTTCTCCATTACTGCTAATACTTCTATTATTGCTTTCACTGTTGGATTTGAACTGACAGTTATGTCTCTGTGCTGATGTGGTATGGCAATCTGAACTGATGTACTTACGTACGAAGTTCTGCATCGTATCTGTCTGTCTGTCTGTCACCATATAACATACGTTCCAGCCAGTATAGCTCGGTTGGGTCATCACGATAGCCACACCGACCACCACGTCAAGGTAGCAGCTTCGGTCGGGCCACCATATAACGAAGCAGCTAGTGTTGGATTTCTCAGGATGTATAAGATCATTACAACTTTTAAATATTGATATTTGTACATTAACCCCTTCTAGCGGCAAACATAACATTCTAGAAACTAAATATGCTTAAAAATGATATGACGAAGTAATTAATTAGATCAATAGTTGTTTAGTCATAAATATATTTGATCTTCAAACTAAGAAAATCAACTTTATACCTCATCTGCATTGATTATTTGAACAGCCAGTCAGTGATTAAACTTTGATATCATTCTATCAGGTGATGAAAAAAAAATTTTTTATTCAAGTCCAAAGTTATAAAACTTGATGGATAGAGCTCCATTACAAAAAAAATAGTTTTAATGATAGATACATAAGACCAATTAAAGAATTGGCCTTAAAAATGATAAGTGCACCCGGTCGGTCAAGAACTAGATTATATATATCTCCTAGAAATGAGACATAGACCATTGGTGGTAGTTTATTTTTCACAGATTACATATGGTGGACAAGTATACAAACATGCTGATTCGATGTCAGTTTTTTTTCACTACAAGTAGTCAGTTAGCCTAGTGTATGGACATGTGCTGCGTGTATGCCTAACCACCGACTTCCTCGACGAGCTTTGTTTTGTAGTGTAGGAATACGTTGGAAGAAAGTTAGGGGGTGGCCAGACAGAAACATATCAGAAATCCATGAAGTCATTGACGAGTGGGCTGAGCCATGTCGGTAGTCGGTAGTCGACTACTTGGTTGAGGTCCGCGAGATGATAATAATCAATGGTTAGAGACCCTGAATGACATGGCCCAAAACCGTTTGCAATGGCGCCGGTGTATTTATTCTTTCTGTTTAGATGCCTCACTAACAGAGCAAATATGATTTGTTCAGTGGATACCTTAAGTCAGGAGCTGGAATTTATCAACGACTCACTAACCGAGATTGGTTATCCCAGCGCATTCATAAAGAAGTATATGTCTGCCGTAAAAAAGAAGTCGGTGGTTTCGACCGCCCAAAAGAAACCTTTATTTATAAAGTTACAATTCAACGGGGATGTGGCCTGCGATACTCTGCAGGACAGATTAGTAAGAGTAATCAGTAGAACATTCAACGCTGCCAAACTTGCATTGACTTTCTCTAGTCGACCAGCGATGTCTACCCAAACGAAGGATAAGTTACCTGAGTTGGCCTCCTCTATGTGCATTTACAAATTCAGCTGCTCCTGTGGAGATAGCTATATCGGGCGTACTTCCAGGCAACGTACACAACGAATGAGTGAACATCTCCCAGCATGGTTTACAAAGGGTCAGTCAAAAACAATACGCAGTTCTATCTTAGCACACCTGGTAGATAGTGGTCACATTGTAGATAAATCTAGATCTTTTCGGGTGATCTATCGTATACCTCCATCATTTCCCAACGGAGTTCGATCCCGTCTCCTACACATTGCAGAACCCATAGGAATACGCACATTCAACCCTAATTTATGTGTTCAGAAAAAATTCGTGACACCCCTATCTCTTCCGTGGCCGGATATGACGTAACTAACGATTGACATTATATATATATTTTATTTATTTTAATTTAATTTTATTATTTTTATTATTTTTACACATCTGCTTATTCCGTAATGTTTTTGATGTTTTTGATGATTATTTGAATTCTATTCATCCACCCTTGACCTACTTTAGTTATCATATTTTATAAACTTTCCTACTACTATCGGTTCACCTATCTGCCTGCTATCCACTTGTACTTTTGCATTTTTTCATTTCATTATGATTATCACTCAAATTGCCTTGATTGGTTTCACATTTTCAAATGTTCATATAAATATTCATGTATATTAGAGTGAGGCCTGATGACGATCTGATCGAAAACAATATTGTTCGCTTATATGTGTTGTTCTAATTTTCACAATGGGAATATTCAATACTCTTTCTGTTCTCTCAAATCCTAATCTTCTGAATTCTTCAAGCCCCTCTAGTTTTGTCTTTCTAAACTTTTCTCACTGAATCATACTTCTTGAATAATATCCTCTAATCCTAACCTCTCCGATTACTTCTAATACCTTTACTACCTCTACTATTCTTAAATTTGAATTGAAAATTATTGTTGGGATAGCCAATCGAGAAGAAAGTCACACACATGATGGATTGTTGAACTATATGATTAATGTTCATGATGAACTATTCGATTAATGTTCAAAATATTTAAACGACATTTATAAAATTGTATAAATACGCATATCTGATTGTATATTTTTGATTCTGTTAATAAGTGTTCTCCAACGTCTTCCGTCTTCTTATTTTTTTGAACGGTGGGAGTCTAACGTTCGGTGTGTCATTATTAGTACAGTGGTTTGTCGTTACATCAAGTAGAAAATATAAAAATTATATCTCTGTGTGCTGATGTGGTATGGCTGTGGTATGAACTAATGTACTTTACATACAAAGTTCTACGTTGCATCTGACTGACTGACTAAGCCTAGTGTATATAGAAAGATTACGTATCCAAATCACGTCACAATATATTATATATATATATATATATATAGAGAGAGAGGCCTGACTCAGTAGTACCAGTACAAGAGAAAAATTAAAGGATAACTTACTCTTCTGGATAAAAATCAATCCAATACCTAATTATTTATTGAATTGTATGAATTCAAACAGAAAAAAAGAATTCACCAATACACAAAGCACTCATTATATCCTTAGTTGTGTTGTGTGACCTTATCATTGCAAATCAATACTGTTTCAGATTCTCATACACTCACACTCACACTGTTTGTGTGTGTGTGTCTGTATGTGTTTGTATGTGTGTTTTCATTAAACGAGTTCTATCCATTACACTTTGAAGTAAAGCAGTTATGCCTATTTATATCAATTTGCTTGTTGTTGTATTACACAAAATCTCATCATGCATGTATATTAGTTAATCATGATAATGAATGTGTGTATACTTGCAATGATTATTATTATTATTATTATTATTATTATTATTATTATTATTATTCATATTTTAATCACATAATATAATCATGTGATATTCTTATCTGTCCTATAGAATTTGTGTACTTTGTGGTGAAAAACAGACAGCTGATACATGGGAAGAGCATTGTTTATCACATCGTAATCCTAAAATGGCATGGGGTGGTGTACGAATCTCTCAACCAAATGTACCAGTTTTTTGTGAATTGAAATCTAATACAGTTTATAAGTAGGTTATTATTATTATTTTCTCTATGCTATAGAAATATATATATATATATATATATATATCCCTAGATCAATCAGAGTTAGACATTAACACCGTCGGATGCCGCCGGTCCAGTGGTCCGATGGTAAGGCGTTCGCCTACAATGCCAAAGGTCCCGGGTTCGAATCCTGCGAGGAGCACTAGTCGTGGATGCGCACTGCTGAGGAGTCCCATACTAGGACGAAACAGCCGTCCAGTGCCGCTTCCAGGTTTCTAATGGTGGTGAGCTAACAATGATTGATTGATGATTTCAAATGTGTAAAAACGCAAACCTCCAAAACTGTGCCCGAAAAAAAAACTAATCTAGTTTATAAGGAATGATACATAATAGAAAGGATTTTTGTCTCTTCTTTACAGAATTGGAACGATCAATCGAGATCGAGATCAATCAGATGGTGTTACGTACAGTGTTCAGATTCCAACTAATCTCTCAGTCAATGTAACTGATAATAAAGTTGTATCACCGTATTCAAAAGTTTCTCAGGTGTATCTTTCAGGGTTAGATTAGCTATGAGTGTTCCTATCTCATAACGAGTGAAGAGGCTTATGTTGCTCCTTTGAAGTATGCATTGATAATATCATATCTCTAAACTGATAGGTTATGACAACTCGAATCAATTCATAAATATACCAGGTCCTATATTACATATGACTGACTGACTGATTGACAGGAATGGCTACTTCCTTAAAGTTCTTGGAATTTTCCACATAACGATTCAGGTAATTATCTCAGGCACTCACGTATCACCTTTTCAACATTGTCAGACTCACAAGAACAGTGGTTAAATTCACTTGAATAGCACAGACTAGATCGATTTAAGTCAGAGGACTGTCGTGGTTACTCGGAAATATATATATATATATATATATATAGTCTCTTGTACGCTGTCCTACTAAATGGGACGACGGTGAGAACTGGGAAAGATAGGGACACTCGCCGTCGCCAGTTTGTTGTCTCTTTCTACACTCCCGCTTATTGCAGTTCAGACGAGGTAAAAAATGAATTCCATGGAGAGCTCTCCGACCTTCAAAAAATTACGTGCTCTGATGTAGTAATGTAGTGAAGGAGAACACAGGTGGGGCAACCGAATTGTATTTAACGAAAATTACAGAGTTACTCAGTAGTAAAATAGGAAAACCATATCGTAAATCGTTCATTTGCAAAGTATCAGTTCATCATCATATCGAACTGGACTGTTCCTGTTGCAAAACATCAATCCATTGTCACTCACTATTCCTGTGTTTCATACAAATTCCATTGTGTTCTATCTAACTCTTCCTTTCTTAATCTTCCCCCATCTTTTGCTACCAGACATTACGCTGACACTCGCGTCATATACTACTTATAAGTAGCTCACACCACAGTAATAGTGGCGGACTAAACAAAAATGAAAGGTACCTGGATGGGTTTATGGTGTCCCTGTTGATCCAACAGATAATCTTGACCGCTATGCTCAGATGACCGCCTGTTTCTAATAAAAACCAACTCTAAGCATAAAAATAAACATCTTTTGTCATGGCGACCCCGAAATTGACTGGATGCTGAACCCATCTAGTTCACATGGCTGTCAGCTACCGCTGGAAAATCCCAATAGGAGATTGTCGCTCATTCTGGATCACATGTTTAGACTGGGATCATTCTCTAGTACGAGCACGTATTTGTCTGCAACTCCCTGGACGTAAGAAAGATGAAAGAGACTGGATCGATAGGCAGAACACGTTAAGGCGCAGTTCAATTGGCCTTCAGCCACACTTCGGTTACACAAGATCTCCAGTCAACCTGAATGTCAAGTTGATGTTAGTCCCCCAACTCGTAACGAAGTTGAAAAGGCTCTAGGCAATCTAAGATGAGAGAGCAGCAGGACCTAACGGATTGACCCCTGAGATTTTTAAAGATGATCGTCCAGGTTGAGCAGTTAGATTCACTGAGATGCTAACTAGAATCTGGAAACTGGGTGTGATCCCATCCGACTGGTCTCAATCACTGTTTGTCTCAGTTTATAAGAAAAGAAAATCATAGAGGAATCAGAATGCTAAGAGCGGCCAAACCAAAACATGGCACAAATCCATGCAATCACTGACAGCTAGACTGAGCCATGTTAGTAGGTCAAGACTACCTTGTTGGGGTCCACGAGAGAATGGCTAGAGACTTTGAATGACATTGCTCAAAATTGCTTGCAACGGCCCATATGCATCCATTCTTTGTCTTTTCTCAAATTCTAATCTTTTGAATTCCTCATAACCTTTTGTCTCTTTTTAGATTTATTTCACTGGATTATATATAGCTCATGAATAATATCTTGGAAACCTAATCATCATTACCGCTAATACTTCTACTGCCTCTATCTCTATGGGATTTGAATTGACAATTCTATCTCTCTGTGTGCTAATGTGGTATGGTAACTTGAACTGATGTGGGTACGTATCAAGTTCTACGTTGTAGCTGACTAACTATTGGATTCGTCACTAAGTATGCTTGAGGCTATTACGAGTTAACCTTAGTCGATAAACGCGAACGAGACTTTTACCAGAGCGTCCAGGTAGGCTACCTTGAATCCCCAAATGGAGTAAAAAGGCTTTGTAGGCGTAGAAAATATATTCTACAAACACCCAGCAATCACACAATACAATCAAGCATACAACTCTCGTTTATTTATACATCATAGAAACGTCTTTGAGACAGTCACAAAAATAGCATACCAAAATACACAGCAGCCAATCTCAGCCATGGATTCTCCTGGTGGTAATTAAAATCTCAAGGTCAACTGATCAGCTCATGCTCGCAAACGTGAAAACCAAAATCGGGGCATTTATCAAGCGAGTTTTGGGGATCTAACTTCCCCAACACTAAGTGAATTCAAACTCTCTCTCTCTCTCTGACGATGAATACTTTGAGTTTTAGTGCTCATGTGAACATCAATACTATGTCGTTTCAAGTATATCTGACTTACAATCCGAAAAAACAGGACGAAACTAACCTCTTCAATTCTACTGCTAACCACAACCCATCTTTATTCATATAAAGCTTGATAACAGTCTAATCGATTGTATATATCAGTCTCTACTATGGTGTTATTATTATTATTCTGTATTCAAAATCGATCTACTCTGATTGTTCATTCTTTGTAATTCACTTTCTCTCTTTCAGATGTTACATTTGTTGTCGACGATTCACTGCTCGATCTTCATGTTTTCGTCATATGACCACTGTTCATCGATTGAAAAAATCACAATTAGATGCAAATCTTCTCATTGAAACATTATCTAGTCGTAAGTTGGGTTGGTCTTTTTTGTGAATTTGTAGATGCTGTAGATGTTTTGTTTTGTTTTATTTTGAAATTGATTTATTTGTAACCATGAATCGATCAATGTTAGACCACCATTAGAAACCTGGAAGCACTGAATGACCGTTTCGTCCGGGTATTAGGACTCATCAGCAGTGCGCATCCACAATTCCTGCACCCTGCAGGATTCTAACCCAGGACCTTCGATATTGTAAGCGAACGCCGAGTTCTAGTGGGAGGACGTGACCAGTGAAGTTCAACCTATTCGGGTGTAGACAGTAACTATCGATGACTGTGTATGAGGTTGAGCAACTCCGTGAATTTGATCAAGTTAGACATTAACACCGTCAGATACCGGCTCAGTGGTCGTCTAACGGTTAGGGCGTTTGCGCACAATATCAAAGGTCCTGGGTTCGAGTCCTGTGGGGTGCAGGAGTCGTGGATGCGCACTACCACTGATGAGTCCCATACCAGGACGAAACGGACGTCCAGTGCCGCTTCCAGGTTTCTAATGCTGGTCTAACAATGATTGATTGATGATTTCAAATGTGTAATAATAATAATAATAATAATCACTCCTTTTTCTTTTCTCTCTATCTATTTATTTAGCAAATTCTACATTATCTAATTCTGTTGAATTGAATACATCAAATTCAGAGATTGGTGGAAATCGTTCATTGAATTCATCAAATCCTATCATTAATACGAACAATCATTGTAATAAACTAAAAACTGATAATAAATGTCGTATATCATTGGGAAAAACTGTTGGTGGTAGTAGTAGTAGTAGTAGTAGTAGTAGTAGTATTACTCGTACTAGTAATACAAATGGTAATCTTAATAGTAGTAGTAGTAATAGTAGTACTAGTCGTAGTAGTAATACTACAACTACATTTACATATCATCATCATCATCATCATCATCATTCACGTCATGATAATAAATCTAATGCAATTGATATTGACAAAAATCAACATAAATCATCACTAACCAATAACAATACTAATACTACTAATAATACTACTACTACTAATAATAGCAATAGAATTAAATCAAAATATAATTGTTCTATATGTCATGTATCATTTATTTCAAATCAAAGTTTATCTAGACATTGTATATCAGCGCATCGACAACAACAATCATAGATCATATAGATTGACATACAGAGTGAGGAAGAGAGAGAAAGAGAGAGTTATCAAACATGAACTTTTATTGTGTTCATTTCTTTTCTTCCTTATCCTCTGTTTACTTTTTTTCTTTAGTTTATTTGTTATTTATTCCAACAAATTATTCTATTTTGTACCACGACCATCACCACCACCTGTACATTACACAATGCTCACGTACCCACACACACACACAGAGATGTACTCATGCACATAGATCGTAGTTTACACACACACGTACACACACATAATATGCACCTATTGTTGAGAGAGAGAGAGAGTAAGTGAGTGAGTGAGTGATATTTTTTTATTATACAACTTTAGATATACGTATATACAAATATATACATATACATCTATCTTATTTTCTCTCTACTTGTTTTTGCTTCTTTCTTATTTGAGAAAAAAAAAAAACTTTGTGAAATGAAATAAAATTAAATTAAATTAAAAAAAATAAACCAAAAAACAGTCAGTTTGTACAGGTTGTTTGTGTGAACAATAATTATCACGTTATTTTGTTATTATTATTATGATTATGATTATCGTTGTTCTCGTTGTTATCGTTGTGGTTGTTGTTTATTCTGTTCTATTATTATTGCTGTTGACCAATTGAAAAATTCCAGTTTGTCCTTTTTGTTTTATTAACTTTACCACAAACCAGTTTATTAATATTTGATTAAAACAAAACAGAACAAAACTTGAACATTGATATTGTGTGTTCTGTAAATTGGGGTGACCTTGATCATTTCGGTTTTTCGTCGCTTTTCTCTTTTTTTTTATTGTTTGTTTGTTTTTAGTTTGTGTACGTATCATCAATCTTGTTATGGGAATGAGTCTTGAGAGTAAAAATGAATGAATAGATTATTGTTCATGATTGTGCAAGAGACTGTTTTTTTTTTGTAAGCTCTAAATAGATAGTTAGATAGATAGATAGGTATTACAGGATTATTGAAGCGAATAATTTGGACACCTATAATTATTATTTGTTGTAGTGAAAATTCCTTTGTGAGATTATCACAAGAGGAGTGTTTTTCAGTTCTTATGGATTAGGGATGATCAGTTCGACTGCTTCGTCGAACTACTATGTTTTGTGGTGTAGGAAGGAATAGGTTGGAAGAAAGCTTGGGGCGGTGGCCAAACAAAAACATTGACAGAAATCCATGAAGTTGCTGACAAGTGGACTGAGTCATGTTGGTAGGTGTCGACTACGTGGTTGGGGACTGCAAGACGATAGCGATCGATGGTTAGTATTACGCCTACACGTAAACACGTCAACTTGATATACTTGAACTATTACGAGTTTACCTTAGTCGGCGAACGAGAGCGAGGAACGAGCATCCGGAGACACGACATGCTACTCAATCCGATTATCCCAACCCCCTACTGAATAAAAGAAGAAGACATGATATGAAATAGAACCTGTATTCTACGAGCATCTAGAAAGTACGAGGCCCGAGTGCAGAAGAGAATCAGGATTCCGGACTGAGGATCCGGGTCATGAAATGTTACAGATAATGCGTATTTATATATTTAGGTTGAATATGAAACAACATCGAAGTCTGTGACATTGACAGTTAAGACGACCAATAAAAAACAACAATGTAGTACATGACATTGATATCTAGGACCATCATAAAATTGACCAGTAAGAATCAACCAATAGGAATTGACCAATAAATTCTCTTAGGATATTGGATGAATATCTTAACAGTTAGAGACCCTGAAAGACATGACTCAAGACCGTTTGCAATGGCGCAGGTGCATTCACTATTTTTTAATTCATCACCTTTGTCTTTTTGTTTTTAAGTTTCTTTCAGTAGATCCTACTTCTTGAATAATACCTTTGAACGCTAATTTTTCCGATTACTGCTAATACCTTTACTACCTCTACTACTATAGGATTTGAATTGACAATTACATCTCTGTGCTAATGTGGTATGGCAACTTGAACTGATGTACGTACGTACTTTTACGTCGCTATTGATTGATTGATCGATTGGGATGATCAGTAATTCGGACCAGTCAAATGGGATTACGTTCAGTTCCCAGATTGTATGTATGGAGGTTCGCCATGTCAGAAAATGTTTTACCCGTATACTTAGAACTGGTGTTTACCAGAAACAATTGGTGTTCTGAGCATATTGGCAGCAGACTGTCACCATTATCTGTTCAGTGAGTTGTGACACCGTATAATCCATCCAAGCGTCTTTCAGTTTCTCTTAAATCTACCTACCTGAGTATCAAAGTCACCCCCCATTATTAATGCATCAGAGTGCTTAGTTTTGTTGTTAAAGTTGAAAAGCTTTCCATAAAATCTATCAGCAGCTTATATCGATGGTGCGATATTCTAAATTTCTAGCTGAAGAAGTCTATTTTCCTATTCTGCACAAGTTGCATACATTGGAAGCTCCAACATGCTGTTTAGAGAGTGATTTCAGGAGACCAGGAATAACATTTCGCGCATCCAAGTCGTTAGCATTAGCGGCACGAGGTGATGAAAGTATATGAGAAGCGTTAATTGTGGAAACAAGAGCGTTATTAAGAGATGGGTGAAAGATTTGATTGTGAGCAAGTCGATGTCATTTGGTGTTACGAGTTTGAGAGTGGATATCACTTACCAGGTTGCTCACATCGTGTAGAGATATTTCTTGAGGAACCCCAAAAAGAAGCTGAGTTAAACAGTAGAATGCAAAGTGTAAAATTAAAGCAAAGAAGGCCAGTGATCCAACTCAATTGATGAGACATGATGACTAAGGATTTTAATCATTTAAAAATATACTAGGCATGTGACAAACGAAGCTAGCAATCCAAATATCAAAGGCTAAGTTAGACAAGCTATATATGAGCTCAACATATTAGCAGACACACCACACGTTCAGCATCAGGATCCACTAGATCATAAATAATGATTCTCTTATTTGTGATCAACTATTATTATTATTATTATTATTTAATTCTGAGGTCAAGCGGATACTTATATTAATAATTAGTTGATCAAGTGGTTGTTTTTTTTCAAAATTTGAACTAGTTAATTCATGTCGAAAAAATCGATACAAAGCAAATCAGTCACTGTGAATAGAGCTTATCTTTTGAATTGACTGTTTTATTGCGTGCGATAAATGTTCAGATGTTCAGTTCAGATCACAAAAAACAGTTTCGTTCACATCACGTCAATAAAAAAATCTATAGTTTTATAATAGAACAAGTTTCTTTGTTTGTTTGTTCGTTTTGATCCGACAATAATCGGACTTTCTTCACATATTGATGAAATTGTTGTGTTGTGAGCTCATTAAAACAAAACACTAACACATCATAACATTGATGCCGTTGTTTAATTGAATTACAAAATCAGAAAGTTGAAATGTATGCCATAATTTTTCTCAATATAACAGAATTCTTATTTTCAATTAAGATCAATATTGATTAAAATCATAGTCAATTAGTCGTCGTCATTACTGACTTGTATATTTATTTATTATCTGTAAAGCAGCATATTTTGTAAATTTAATCGAAGTGATTTTGTAAAATGTATTATTATTTTGTAACAATGCTATCAATTGTTAGGGATTAAATTATTTTGTTGAACCTCTGTGTCTTCTTCAGTTAAGGTAGATGAGGTGTGTGTGATACACAAGTCTATCTTCTAATCATCTCAACATACAATGATAACTAAGATTGACTAGGGATTAAAACATAATTGATAAGTTTACTGATTGAATGAAAGATCTGATTTCTTATCGGCCTGTAATAACTCTCGACTAAATCTACACTGTGACTTGAACAGAAGAGAAAAAAGAGCGAGATGAATGCATTTACTCTAAGGTTAGTTTATTCACAGAAAAATGAGGGTATTCATAGAGTTCCCCTCGACCTTGAGCTTCTGGAACGTTCGAGAACCTCACTAAATATAGTAGTGATATGACTAAACATCCATTCAGAATCGTGTTGCGTAATTATGTATATCCAGGAGTTTTTACGAACGTTCTTAACACTACTGATTGGATAAAAAGTTTTCTGAGGGATATTTCGGTGCTGTGTAACAATAAAATCTTAGTGTTATTAGAAAATGTAGATTTTCTCGTTGAATATTCATGCAACATCGTCGATGGCTTTGTATATGGTAAAAAAGAACGATGTCCATAATACTGGTTGTATGTTTTTATCTTCCTCTAGATCTCACATTCTACCATCCATTCTTTTCATCCTCCCAATTTTTTCAAAGTAAACTTTCAATAGATTCGTGCATTACTATCATTGTTGTTCCTAGTTTTTTCTTTCATCATCGAGTTATTTTACTCAATCACTGTATGAAATGTGACAGCTTGGGACACTGAATATTTCTATCTTACTTACTTACTTACGCCTGTTACCCCCAAATGGAGCATAGGCTGCCCACCAGCAGCATCCGGGCGGCCAAACCAAAACATGGCATAAATCCATGAAGTCATTGACTAGTGGACTGAGCCATGTTGGTAATTGTCGACTACCTGGTTGGGGTCCGCGAGATGATAATAATCGATGGTTAGAGACCTTGAATGTCATGGCTCAAAATCGTTCGCAATGGCGCCGGTGCATTTATTCTTTGTGTTCTCTCAAATCCTAATCTTCTGGATTCTTCAACCCCTCTAGTTTCGACTCTCTAAACTTTTCTCACTGAATCATACTTCTTGAATAATATCTTCTAATCCTTACCTCTCCGATTACTTCTAATTCCCTTACTACCTCTACTACTATTGGATTTGAATTGACGATTACTTCTCTGTGCTGATGTGGTATGGCAACATGAACTGATGTACTTATGTACAAAGTTCTACGTTGCATCTGACTGACTGACCGACCAGCAGCATTCTCCAATCAACTCTGTCCTGGGCTTCCTTCTCCAGTTCTGTCCAATGTTTGTTCATTCCTCTCATATCTTTCTCTATTTCTCGGCGTAATGTGTTCCTTGGCCTTCCTTTTTTTCCTTTTGCCTTGAGAGATATTTCTATCAGGCTCCATTAAATGATTACAACTACTTGTCTGTATGATCTGTGCATTTTGATCACTCCAGATTGACGATGATTAAAAGATTTT